CAGACACTTCATTTGTCGTGATTCATTTATGTCATGTGGAGATATGGGATGTGCTAATATACAAATATCTTTCGCGATCAAAATGAGATCGTTCCATATAACTGGGATAGAAAAAAAAATAAAAATTAATTGTCCTATTTGCATACAAGCAATCATTTTTCGAGAAAAATAACCAAATCGAAAGCCTTCTTAACTTTCATACTTCCATGCTAGAAATCTAAGAAGAGAAACAGTGATCCAAGTAATTCTACTGTCAGATTTTTTATACTTCATCAATCCACTATAAAGCTCAACACAAAAATCATAATGTAATGAGTTACAAGAATACAAGCAGTTCTTCCCCAAATATTCCAAGAATTAGGGTTTCTAGACCAAAAATCTAAACAAATTCATCCGAATTAGAGAAGTAAATCCCAAATGAACCCGAATAGGAGATTCAATATGAAAGGACCCTAGAGTATACACAGCAATCACAGATGAGCAATTCTTTAATACCAAGTATGTTCTTAGTAAATTTCCCTAAGAACGACAATGCAAAATATCGGATCAGATGCGTAAAATTAAAGCACATATCGACCTCATCGCCCGGCTGCTTCCTATTCCTTCTCCGATCACAGCCGCCTGTTCCATCTGAAACCGCTGAGAAAACGTATCCTGCATAAGACGCCATTTCTGAGAAGAGAAATCTTTTATTTGGAGTTGACAGAAGTGTGCCGACAGAGAGGGTAGGGCAGATATTTAAGGCGGATAACGTCTGAGGCTGCATTTATTTCGGGTTTATCAATAATGGGTTTTAGTTTTTTGCATTGAATTTCAAATGGGCAGCAGTTGGGATTTCGAAAATTAAACCCTACCCAAGAAAGAAATTGGCAAAATACATTGATTAAGGGTTCATCAAGACAGCCTCGTTTTAATCGCTCTAGAAATTGGCAAAGTACTAGAAATACATTGAGCGTGTCGCCCAAAATCTGAATGGGTTATGTAGAGGAGATGAAATTTCTGAAGATTCTTTTTTCTGTGGGCAACTGGGCTTAAGAAACTGGAAATAGATTCCACTTTAATCCATGAGGTTGATGTAAATCGTATTTTGAAAGCAGAAATTATAGTTTACACATGAGTAAGATGTGTAGTTTTTTTCTTTTTTTTTTTATTTTAATAAAACTTATATATCATAAAAGAAGATTACAACCAAAGGCACAAACCATACATGCATGAAATACACAAATAAGAAATTAAAAACCTAATGAAATAAGAGGTCAAATCATGTAAAAGCCGCCGGACTAGATACTCCAAATAGCTTCTACCACTTACACTATCAAAACAAAGACAATTACAAAAACAACAACAACAAGATAAAATATGAAAAAAAAAAAAAAAAAAAAAAAAGCCATTCTGGATCCTAAACAAATACTCACGGCGCCTATTAATCTTCTTCAAAATTTAAATTGTTGTTTGGCCACACTCCAAGTACGAGGCCAAAAAGAGGGAGAAATTTGACCTTGGCGAAAAGAGGCTTTTGAATTAAAGGAGAAGACTTCACCTACATATTTTGAGAGTTAAAAGCCAGTGATCAAAGGCATACAGCCTTGCGCTTTGGAACAGAATTAAGCCCACAGATATTATATTGTTTTATTGTTTTTGTTATGGCTTCTTCATCTTAGGATATTATGATTTATCCTAAGGAAACTACAAATTTATTTCATGTTTCTTGACATTTTGAAGATTATTTGCCTCCATTCAATTTTAAGTGATGCATTGAATAGAGATACGAGTGAAGCATACATAAGTGGTATAATTTGAAATAAGTAACTTCATCGAGATACCATAAAGTTGTAGAAGCAAAACATAAGCAAGAATAAAAAGGATGAGATATTTGAATACAAGTAAGGCATGCAATTATGGTTCAATTAAAGATCTTCTTTGCGTTCTTGTGTGCATTTATAAAATTAAAGCAAGATAAGATGGTTAAAGAAACAAATTTTGTTGGCGCTAAAATATCATTTATTGAACGTATTTAAAACATTCGCTATAGATTGTTTGTTGCATTCCTTTTCACAATTCATTTATTCCGCATGATAAGTGGATCGTTGCACAAAGATTTCTTGATGATTTAAATGAGACTATTCCATATATTTAAGGACAAAAATAAACATTCGTTTGGTGGCATACAACAGGGACCGTTTCCTTTTGTCGTATTAGTCTCTTTAGTGACATACAAACAATCATCAATCAAGAAATAAAAAGAACTATTCGAAAGATTTAATTCCAACCCCTTGTCCAACAACCGAATCACAAAACATCAATTGCATAGATTGTTATAAAATCTTATGTATAACATAAAAAACACAAAAACACTATCAGATATTTCATTGTGAATAAAAATGATGAAATGAATGCAAACAGTTGAGGTTAAATAGAAATTGGGATTAAGCTCATCGTTGAATTCGAGAAAACCAACATCTGAATTCCATTAAAATTTGGTACTGAAAATATGTCAAGTTTTTAACTTCAAGCTCCCTTTTGTAATCTCCTAAAAAAATAATAATAATAATAATCTCCTATCTTTGCTCTTTTTTTTTTTTTTTTTTTGTTACTATTATTGCTGTGACTTCTATATAAATATTTTCTCTTTTTCTTTTCAAGAGCATTTCATTCTTAAGATTCTTCTATTATTCAAGTTTTCAAATCAGATTCCATACGCAAACAATAATACATTTATAAATATGACCATAATACAATTACCTCCAAGATATATATATATATATACATACATAGTTATTAATAAGAGCTTCAATGTTAAAGTACAAGAACAACCTAAATCCAGGAATCACTTGCTGCTTGCAAGTTATAACATAAATCTGTAATAGTTTGTAGGACAAGAAACTGACCAAACTCAAGAAATCGTGTGCAGAGATATGCTTGCTGCTCTTCGGCCTGGCCTGGCTAGTCTTGTAAACCAACCATCTACCGGTGGTGGATTGAATGCAATATCTGTTTGTATATAAATAAGTATAATATTAACATGCATTTTGGTTAAATATTCCAATTTTTGTTTTCTATACTATGGCGACTTCCATGTCTTCTGCTCCTCGCTCATCCTCTTTGTAGAGGCCAAGCAACGTATATCTATGCATTCCCTCTCGAGATAGCTCACACCACCTCCATGTTGCAGTGCAATGCCTTTAGAAATAATACAAGCAATTGTTTAATATATATATATATATATGTGCGCGCGTGCTGAACATATTCATTAGTAATTAAAAATATTTTGAATATCTCATCTTTAGTACCAAATGGGGAAGATAGAAATAAGAACGTGTCATTTCCATGATAAGAAGCACACCTTGTGATTTGGCTTAACTAACATAGCAATATTGTTGTTATCTTGTGCATTCTTTTTCCAAATTTTTCCTTTCTTTAGAATGAACTTGGTTGAAGGGTTAAAGTCCTGCACAATAAATCAGCAATGGCAGTAATTAGAATATGATGATAGATAAGTTTTTTTCAATGATCTTTGGTCAAAAAAATTTATTTGAAACTATGTAACCATTGAAAGTTTCTTGAGGTTTATCAATCCATGTATCAAATGAAGCCAACACAAACTCAACTAAATTGAAATAAATAATTTCACTGAGAATCAATAAGCTCATGTGGTCTTTTTGTACATGATACTCTCAAATTTTTCGTGATATATACAGGTTGGGGGTCCTACCTCAACGCCCGCTCGATTAGTGATGATTAAAAAATAAACAGGAGCAAATTTACATGAAATAGGATGCTCAAAGTATACAAGGAAATGAGAGCTATAGTATTAAGATAAACAAAATAAAAAACATATGCACATATGGTCCCATCGAAGATCTTCTCTTGCGCTCTTAGTGAAATATAACTTCATACTATAAAGCATATTTATAAATTAAAGGAAGACAAACTTAAGTTTCACTCTAATTAGCTAGCTCCAAAACCATCGTTTAATAATTGTATTTAAAATTTTAACCATAAATAGACTTCTTTTGTGGCGATTTATATATTTCACTTAGGGAAAAGTAATACGTAGTCGCTACAACAAAATTCTTAGTGATAAAAAAAGAAAGATACCATTCCATATAATGAGAATAAAAACAAAAAGACATTCTTTTTGTCGTCGTAGCATACAAACAATCATGTGGATCAAAAAAAACAATGAAACGAACTATTCCTTCATTTTCAATAGCTGTATTTCTACATGAAGTTTTCATAGTTCATCAACTAGCAAGTACAAAAAAATGCATCCAATGAGTCAAAAAACATACAGGCAATCCTTCAACAAATATTCCAATCAAGAAAATGGGTTCCTAAACCAAACTTTAAACAAATTCACCTGAAAAGGGGAATTATTAAACCCCAATCTGAACTTAAGGATCACATCCAATATAAAAACCTTCTAATTCCTACAGCAATCAGAACTTACATAGATGATCGAACAATTCCAGAATATCGAGTAGATCCACAAAGCCCTAAGAACAACAAAGCAAAATACGATCAGATGCATGAAATTAGACCGAAAATTGACCTCATCACACGGCTGCTTCCCACGACAAGTTTTTAGCCATTGTCTGAGCTGTGACAGGGAGAATGGCTTTACTAATAATAATGGGTTTTCCTATTGGCAATTTGAATTTTTAAAAATTGGACCATGTTGGACGTCTTGCTTTATATTTTAGAATTTTTTTTATTATTATTTCACTTTAAATAATTTATATAATTTTTTTATTAAAATATTATTACAGTATATATACAATTTTCAGCAGATTTTCAACAAAACCCTAAAGGTTGAAAAGAGCAACGGCGGCGGCTGTGTTTCAGCAGATCTCAGATCTACAAACATTTCAACTCGGGTAAGGCTTTGAAGGTTTTATGTTATTTTATTTTATTTCAGATATCGTTGAATTCTTTTCCCCCTTTTTTTGATCGATACAGGATCATCCTTTGGAACTGAAAGATTTTTCATCAGGCTTATCATGATGCAGATGGATTGTGCTATTGATAGGATTAGCGATCTTCCCCGCGACATCACAGATAAAATTCTTCTGTCAATGCCTTTGCGTGATGCTGTGAGGACAAGCACACTGTCCTCACAGTGGAGGTACAAATGGACAACAATTCCTGACCTTGTTTTCGATCCAGATTCCTTTAATGAAAACAATGTGGAAGCCATGGTCGATCAAGTTTTTTCCCTTCATGAAGGGACCATAAACAAATTCTCACTCACAAATTTTCGAATCCAAAGCGATTCATCGATCAGTCGCTGGTTATCTTATTTGTCTGAACATGGTATAAAAAGCCTTGAGCTTTCGCTTTACTACTTAAATCGAGATCCAGTGACTGTTCGTCTCACTGATTTCGATCACCTCCAGCATTTGCACCTTGGAAATCCTTGTGATGTTAAAATTCCTCCTTCATTGAGAGGATTTAATAGCCTTACTAAACTAGAACTTTTCAAAGTCAATATTGATGTCTGCGACTTGGAAGTGTTGCTTTCGAAATGTCCAATGATTGAGTACTTGGACGTGAAGGTGGGGTTTAGTTCTAGCTTTTCTCGACATGTCTACTTTTCCTTGATTCGAATTATATAAATTGCTAATTGTTTTCCTCTTGTGTTGTTTAATTTAAGATCTTCATGCATGGAGTGATGAATGAGCTTCCAAACAAGCTCAAGTATCTCACTGCTCTTCATCTTGGCTATGTTAACTTCATAGACTTGAGAAACATCGACGTCCTTGTGAGCTTGATCAAAAGCTCCCCCAACTTGCAGACACTTAAACTTTATGTTAGTGAAGTGTTATTTCAGCACATTAACATTTTTTTTACATCTCATTTGTCACTCATTTCATCCTTCTTTTTCTTAGGGTTCCGCAAGCAGGGATGAGTATTGCATCACTATCTTTCTGAAGATTTTGCACGCCATGAATCCTTGTATCTGTTTCCTTGAAGATGTGGCGATCGACTTTATGATGGGTGATGCTGCGCGATTGGAGTTTGTGAAAACTATTTTGCGGTGGACAGATGCGCTTAAAGGATTGGGAATAGATGATCCTATAGCGAGTAGAGACAATGTGTCGACAGAGTTTGAAAACTTCAAGCGCGCCTTGTTATCTAAAGCAGGAATTAAGCTATTCACGCCGAAGTTAACAACTGTAGTTGAGACACTGATAACGCTTTAATGCCTTAAATTGAATCGGGCGCCAAAAGGATGAAGCATTTAACAAGTTAGCAGTATGTTGTTTGTAACAAATCTGTTATATTGCCTACTTGTCATTTTATAGATTACCTGCAACCATACACCTTTAAATATTGTTCGAGTAGATAAACAATTTATTCATTGCGGGTTGCTACACAAAGTGCTTGATGATTAAGATAATATCATTCCGTATAATGTGGTACAAAAAAATAAGACTAAATTTTTTGGACGGAGGGAGTATATACAAAAGCATTCCTAGCTCCCTTTTTATGACATACAAATAATATTAGATTACAAAAAAAACAATCAATCTAAGGACTTATTTATTCTAAAACTTTGATGCTAGAAATATTGCCAAAAAAGAAAGAGGGAATATCCCTAAATCTTTCTAGAGGAAGATTTTTTATACTTGGAGACATAAATTACCAGCCATCCTTCCTAAAATATTCGAATCCAGAATTAAGATTTATAAACCTATGATTTAAACAAATTAGTTGAAAGAGAAAATCAAACCCCAATTGAATTCACCACATCTAAATTCCAATATAAAATTTCTTAATGCATATTTATATATATATATATATATTTACATTTAAAAATAAATTATATCTTCTCTATCGTTTATAGTTTTTTAGAATAAAAATTATAAGAATATCGACTGACTCCTAAACTATAAATATTATATCACAAGTATCATTATATATTCCTAAAAATCGATTGATATATAATTTTGAATTTTGATTTTAATGGAGAATTTCAGTGTATACTTTTATATTGCTTAGAAACTAAACTCTCCTAATTTTGTAGTCTATTATAATTACAGTAAGTGACATTTGCATTGCTTCATGTTTTGTTATTTCAAGTACTATTGTTGCTCATTCTCTCTTCTCTAATTTTTTTTTCTAGAGCAGAAGGTCCAAATATTCTTATATTGATGATCGGCTAGCGGGTGCACTCTCGAACCTCTGAAGTTTGTACAGCCAATTCCTCTCAAACATCTGAAATATGTCGAGATATCGTGCATGTTAGGTTATGCAATGCAAATTCAATTTATGCGGAATCTTTGGCAGTGGAAATCTGTGCTTAAGCAGCTGAATATGAAAACCTTTTTCCGGGGTGTCGCTAACAAAACAGATGCATTCAAGATGGTAAGGATTTAGCGAATCTCCTAGCTCGATCGATCATCATCTGAAGAGAAAATCATATTTGGAGGCGAGTGGCAAATGTGAATTTGTATTATGTAGCTCTCTATAGAATAATATATTTGAAGTCATTAAATACACACTTCCCTGCCTGCATGTTTAATGTTTTAACCTGCATCTCTTTATTTTGTTGGGGAAATTTGGATGTCTTAGATAAACGGATTGAAAGTCCCAGTAAATTAAAACATTTATTGTAGTCTAAAATTTATAATAATTATTTATTTTATATATTTTTATTGTTTCGTAATATATAAATAATATTTATTATGTAATATTATATTTAATTTGAAAGTATTTTTTATTATAAATTGTGATAGTAAAATTATTCAAATTCCTGATATTTGAAGCATTTTGAAAATTTGAATGATTGAAACAAATCTGGACTAATACATGGCCAGATAAAATTTTGTACTCATTGGTTAGTTCGATGAAATTGAATATGAAAATTTAAATAAATTTAAATGTTAAAATTGAATTTAAATATATATGTATATATATGTGAGATTGAAAAATATATAGTTGAGGTGACATTTTCAAATAAATTTGAGTTATATTTGTATAATAAATTATTGATGAATTTAAATTTTTAAATTTTCAAATTATGGGTAGTAATTAATCAAGTAATTAATTTTTTATTTTATTAGATATAATGAGTTATTAGAAAAGAGAGTACTTATCAATAAAGGTAATAATTCTCATTATACTAAAAACGGATATGGTAATCATAGAAGTAACGGTGCCGCCGTAAGACAGATTGAATATCCCCAAGAGGAATAAATGAATTGCAACAGAGAAGTCCTTTATCCACTCAAGGTTTTTTTTTTTTTTTTTTTTTTTTTTTTTTTTTTTTACCCAAGCATGCACTTGCCGAAAATTTCTTACAACTCAAGCACACACACATACTCGATATCGAACCCAGAACCTAGCCCTCAAGTTAGGGATGTCTCATTTGATTTACAAAAGTTTGACTACTCAAGCATTTAAAGTTGTATGGTTGCAAATAATCTATAAAATGACAAGAAGTAGGCAATAAAACAAATTTTTTACAAACACCATACTAGTAACTCGGTAAATGCTTCAACCATTTGACGACTCTCTATAGGAGTATATATTCCCAATTCTTTAAGCGTAGTTGTCCACCGAAAAAGGATATTCACAAACTCCAACTCCGCTGGATAACCCATCATAAACCAAATCGTCACATCTTCAAGGCGACTGAGACAAATATTAAAATCGTGTTGTGCCTTCATATATTCAGTGACACTACTCTCATCCCTAAATGCACCATCACCCTAAGAAAAAGAAGGATGAAGTGAGTGACAATTTAATGGAAAAAAAATGTAATGAAAAGTAAATGTGTATTACTAACATAAAGTTTTAGACTTTGCAAGTTGGGAGAGCTATTGATCAAGTTCAGAAGCAGTTCGGTGTTTCCCAAGTCTAGGAAGTTGACATCCCCGAGATGACGAATAGTGAGATAATTAAGCTTGTTCGGAAGTTCTTTCATCTCTCCTTGGATGTAGATCTTAAATTAAGAAACACAAGAGGAAAACAATTATCAATTTAATTCCAATCAAAGAAAAGTAGACATATTGAGAAAAGCTAGAATTAAACCCCACCTTTAGATTCAAGTACTCAATCATTGGACATTTAGAAAGCAATGTTCCCTAAACCCTCAATATCGACATTGAAAAGTTGTAGTTTAATAAGCCTGTTAAATCCTCTCGACGAAAGAGGAATTTTAACTTGACAAGGAAATCCAAGGTGCAATTGGAAGAGGTGATCAAAATCAATGAGAGGGATAGGCACCAACGTGGATCGATTTGAGTATCTAAAAGAAACCGGAAGGCTTTTAATATCATGGTCAGACAAGTAAGATAGCGATTGTGTTATGTTTTTATATAGTAAAACTCGATTTTAAAAAAAAAAAATAACAATATCAAACTTAAAAGCTCTTGTATTGAATCGAACCAAAAGGAAAAACACAAAAATGTAAAAGAGAATTTGGCTAAGCACCTGGCACAACTTTAGAATGTCGAACGGGACTGAGAAGAAACTCCGGCCACAGCCTCAACTAACAGATTAATTTGCTGCACACCAAACCCTAACCACAATTGTTACAAGAGTTGATCCCTACACTAAGGGTGTGTTCTTTTGGGAATTTCCCTGGATTTCTACCATTTATCCAAATTTTTTTTTGTTCAAAAATATCAAAAGCTATTTTTTATTTTTTATATTATGTTAAAAATCAAGTTTACATTCAAAATATTACATCAACACCTATTTATATCACATCGTACAACTATTACAATTCAAAATTTTTACTATTCAAATCTCAACTCAAAATCTAAACTCCAAACAAACACACCCTAAATGATACTCGTCAATCTATAAACTATACACTATGAAAATCTCACCCAATTAATGTAAGGGAAAAATACCATCACAAGTCCCTCAATCCATTGCAAAACTGAGAGGAAGAAGACGACAAGCCATAGAGAATCAAGATACAGATGGACTGAATAATCTGGAATGAAGTGAAGCAGCGGCGGCACACAGGTTATATAACACACCAACCTAGATCCTAACGCCTAGAAACAAATCCCTTCATCCAATGGCTCAGATTTGATCTCGAAATTTAATAGTTTAGTGAGCTAAGCCATTATTTAGGTCATGAGTTCTCGATTGGGCTTTCAAATACATGGGCCTCAGCACGCATTATGGGCCAAGACCCAACATGATTGACTGAAGATTCAGTTTCGATTCGACAATCTTTGAGTGAGAATTTATTTATGGTCCCTTCATGAAGACACAAAACTTGATCAACCATGGCTCCCAGGTTGTTTCCATTACAGGAATCCGGATCGAAAACAAGGTGTGGAATAGTTGTCCATTTATATCTCCACTGTAACGACATTTTGCTTGTCCTCCCAGCATCACGCAAAGGCATAAACACAAGAATTTTGTTTATAACATCACAGGGAAGACTGCTAATCCTATCGACCTCACATGAGTCCATCCTCGTAATCGTAAGTTTTTTTGACAAATAAGTTCCTATAGATCCACAAAACGATTAACTATACAAATCAAAACACTAATTAACCACTCAATCAAAAGCCTAAATTGTTAGATTCCATAATCTATTCAGAAATCAGATGGATATATGACAGTGTGATATTGAATAACTGATCAAAAATGGAAAAAATTACTCCAATAACACAGTATGAATTAAATTTTACAACATACCTCATCTGGATTCATACAAAATAAAACTTCCCGCAATTGCGAAAACCATTGAAGGCTCTAATATATGAAACAGATTGAAGTTTTACATATTTCAATAAATAATATTTTGGCGTCAACAAAAAAATATTTCTTTAATTTTCTTGAATTGATTTAATTTATAAATGCACACAAGAACACAAAAGAAAATCTTTAATTGAACCATAATTGCATTCCTCACTTGTGTTGGAATGATTTCAGTTTTTGTATTCCTGCTCTTATGTTTTAATTTGCTTTTATAAGCTCTTAGATTTCCTGTAGAGTTACTAATATCGAATTATTCAATTTTGTATTGGTATTTCTATCCTATGCATGACTTAAAATTGAATTGATGCGAAATATATATATATCAAGAAACAGAAAATCGAATTATAAAAAAAATATTTAATAGAACAAAAGAAAAGTGAAGAAGTTCCGGAATGTAGCTTAATACAAAGATCCACAACAAAACGATGATTCATGGGCAAAAACAAAATTCCACACCGGCTATTTATCTATAAAAAATTTAGCTTTGGAAGATGGTTTGCAAGTTGGGGGAGCTTTTGATCAAGCTCCGAAGAACTTCGATGTTTCCCAAGTCTAGGAAGTTGACATCCCCGAGATGAAGAACAGTGAGATAGTTGAGCTTGTTTGGAAGTTCTTTCATCCCTCCTTGGATGTAGATCTTAAATTGAAAAACACAAAAAGAAAACAATTATCAATTTAATTCCAATCAAGGAAAAGTAGACATACTGAGAAAAGCTACAATTAAACCCCACCTTTAAATTCAAGTACTCAATCATTGGACATTTAGAAAGCAATGTTCCCTAAACCCTCAATATTGACATTGAAAAGTTGTAGTTTAATAAGCCTATTAAATCCTCTCGACGAAGGAGGAATTTTAACTTGACAAGGAAATCCAAGGTACAACTCCCGGAGGAGATCAAAATCAGTAAGAGGGATATATATATAGGCACCACCGTGGATTGATTTGAGTATCTAGAAGAAAGCGGAAGGCTTTTAATACCATGGGCGGACAAGAAAGATTGTGATCGAATCGAATTGGAAAAAACGACAATATTAAACTTAAAAACTCTTGTATCGAATCGAACTGAAAGGAAAAACATAAAAACATAAAAGAGACTTTGACTCAGCACCTGGCACAACCTTAGAATGTCAAACGGGACTGTGGAGAGGTAACTTCGACAATAGCTCGGCCACAACCTCAACTAACCGATTAACTCGCAGCACACCAAACCCTAACCACTATTGTTAGAATAGTCGATCCCCACTCTAGACAATTCTCGCCAATCTCTCAACTATATACTAGGAAAATCTCGCCCAACTAATCTAAAGGAAAAACCCCACAAGTTCCTCAATCCATCGCAGAACTGAGAGGAAGAAGACGACCAACAAGAGAGAATCAAGACATGGATGGACTGAATAATCTAGAATGATGTAGAGTAGCGGCGGCACACAAGTTATATAACACACAAATCTAGATCCTAACGCCATAAACAAAACCTTTAATCCAATGGCTGAAATTTGATCTCGGACAAGTTATATAATCACAAACCTAGATCCTAACACCTAGAAACAAATCTCTTCATCCAATGGCTGAGATTTGATCTCGGAATTTTATTGGTTAGTGAGCTAGGCCATTATTTAGGTCATGACTTCTCAATTGGGCTTTAAAATGCATTGGGCCTCAGCACACATTATGAGCCAAAACCCAACAAGACTGATTGAAGAATCAATTTGGATTCGACAATCTGTTGAGTGAGAATTTGTTTATGGTCCCTTCATAAAGAAACAAAACTTGATCAACCAAGGTTTCCACGTTGTGTCCATTACAGGAATCTGGATCGAAAACAAGGTGTGGAATAGTTGTCCATTTATATCTCCACTGTGATAACATTGTGCTTGTCCTCACAGCATCACACAAAGGCATAAACACGAGAATTCTGTTTATTACATTAAAGGAAAGACTACTAATTCTATCAACCTCACACTCCATTCCTACAGATCCTGAAAACGATTTAACTATACAAAATCAAACAACTAATTAACCACTCAATCAAAAGCCTAAATTGATTAAATTACACAATCTATTCAGAAATCAGATGGGTATATGACAGTGTGATATTGAATAACAGATCAAAGCCCCAAAAAATTACTCCAACACCACGGTATGAAATCAAAGTTTACAACATACCTCATCTGGATCATACAAAATAAAACTTCCGCAAATGCGAAGCAGAACTTGTAGCGAAAATCATTGAAGGCTCTAATAAATGAAACATATTGAAGTTTTACAAATTTCAATAAATAATATTTTGGCGTCAACAAAAAATATTTCCTTAATTGAACCATAATTGCATTCGTCACTTGTGTTGGAATGATTTCAATGATATCATTTGTATTCCTACTCTTGTGTTTTAATTTGCTTTTATAAGCTTTTAGATTCCCAGTAGAGTTATTAATATTTAATATTCAATTTTATATTGGTATTTTTATCAGATGCATGACTTAAAATTAAATGGATGCAAAAAATATATATATCAAGAAACATAAAATAGAATTATAAAAAAAATATATATTTAATAAAAGAAAAGATAAAGAAGTTTCGGAATGTAACTAAATACAAAGATCCACAACAAAACAATGATTCATGAGCAAAGATAAAATTTCACACTAGCTGTTTATCTATGAAAAATTTAACTTTAAAAGATGACTCCCAATAAAATAGCCTCAACTCTCTTTTTGTCCTGTCCAATTGACGGTCATCCATAGAATGAGAAATTAGTTCCAATTGTTTAAGTTTGTCCCCCAAAATAGGAGAAGCTTCACAAATTCCACTTCAGGTTGAGTGCCCGCAAACAATTTCATCTTCACAATCTTTACACTAATCTCATCCCTTAATGCACCATCACCCTAAGAAAAAAAAAAAAAAAAAAAAAAAAGGATAAAATGAGTGACAATCTAATGAAAAGGAAAATGTAATGAAAGATAAATGTGTATCACTAACATAAAGTTTAAGAGTTTGCAAGTTGGGGGAGCTTTTGATCAAGCTCAGAAGAACTTCGATGTTTCCCAAGCCTAGGAAGTTGACATCTTCAAGATGAAGACCAGTGAGATAATTGAGCTTGTTTGGAAGTTCTTTCATCCCTCCTTGGATGTAGATCTTAAATTAAGAAACACAAAAGGAAAACAATTATCAATTTAATGTCAATCAAGGAAAAGTAGACATATTAAGAAAAGCTTGAATTACCCACCTTTATATTCAAGTACTCAATCATTGGACATTTAGAAAGCAATGTTCCCTAAACCCTCAATATTGACATTGAAAAGTTGTAGTTTAATAAGCCTATTAAATCCTCTCGACGAAGGAGGAATTTTAACTTGACAAGGAAATCCAAGGTACAACTCCCGGAGGAGATCAAAATCAGTAAGAGGGATATATAGGCAACACCGTGAATCGAATTGAGTATCTATAAGAAAGCGGAAGGCTTTTAATACCATGAGCAGACAAGAACGACAATATTAAACTTAAAAACTCTTGTATCAAATCGAACTGAAAGGAAAAACATAAAAACATAAAAGAGACTTTGACTCAGCACCTAGCACAACCTTAGAATGTCAAACGGGACTCTGGAGAGGTAACTCCGGCAATAGCTCGGCCACAACCTCAACTAACCGATTAACTCGCAGCACACCAAACCCTAACCACTATTGTTAGAATAGTCGATCCCCACTCTAGACAATTCTCGCCAATCTCTCAACTATATACTAGGAAAATCTCGCCCAACTAATCTAAAGGAAAAACCCCACAAGTTCCTCAATCCATCGCAGAACTGAGAGGAAAAAGACGACCAACAAGAGAGAATCAAGACATGGATGGACTGAATAATCTAGAATGATGTAGAGTAGCGGCGGCACACAAGTTATATAACACACAAATCTAGATCCTAACGCCATAAACAAAACCTTTAATCCAATGGCTGAGATTTGATCTCGGACAAGTTATATAATCACAAACCTAGATCCTAACACCTAGAAACAAATCTCTTCATCCAATGGCTGAGATTTGATCTCGGAATTTTATTGGCTAGTGAGCTAGGCCATTATTTAGGTCATGACTTCTCGATTGGGCTTTAAAATGCATTGGGCCTCAGCACACATTATGAGCCAAAACCCAACAAGACTGATTGAAGAATCAATTTGGATTCGACAATCTGTGAGTGAGAATTTGTTTATGGTCCCTTCATGAAGAAACAAAACTTGATCAACCAAGGTTTCCACGTTGTTTCCATTACAGGAATCTGGATCGAAAACAAGGTGTGGAATAGTTGTCCATTTATATATCCACTATGATAACATTGTGCTTGTCCTCACAGCATCACGCAAAGGCATAAACACTAGAATTTTGTTTATTACATTAAAGGAAAGACTGCTAATTCTATCAACCTCACACTCCATTCCTACAGATCCTGAAAAAGATTTAACTATACAAAATCAAACAACTAATTAACCACTCAATCAAAAGCCTAAATTGATTAAATTCCACAATCTATTCAGAAATCAGATGGGTATATGACAGTGTGATATTGAATAACAGATCAAAGCCCCAAAAAATTACTCCAACACCACGGTATGAAATCAAAGTTTACAACATACCTCATCTGGATCATACAAAATAAAACTTCCGCAAATGCGAAGCAGAACTTGTAGCGAAAACCATTGAAGGCTCTAATAAATGAAACATATTGAAGTTTTACAAATTTCAATAAATAATATTTTGGCGTCAACAAAAAATATTTCCTTAATTGAACCATAATTGCATTCGTCACTTGTGTTGGAATGATTATCAATGATATCATTTGTATTCCTGCTCTTATGTTTTAATTTGCTTTTATAAGCTTTTAGATTCCCAATAGAGTTATTAATATTGAATATTCAATTTTATATTGGTATTTTTATCAGATGCATAACTTAAAATTGAATGGATGCAAAAAATATATATATCAAGAAACATAAAATAGAATTATAAAAAATATATATATTTAATAAAAGAAAAGATAAAGAAGTTTCGGAATGTAACTTAATACAAAAATCCACAACAAAACAATGATTCATGAGCAAAGATAAAATTTCACACTAGCTGTTTATCTATAAAAAATTTAGCTTTAGAAGATGACTCCCAATAAAATAGCCTCAACTCTCTTTTTGCCCTGTCCAATTGACGGTCATCCATAGAATGAGAAATTAGTTCCAATTATTCAAGTTTGTCCCCCATAATAGGAGAAGCTTCACAAATTCCACTTCAGGTTGAGTGCCCGCAAACAATTTCATCTTCACAATCTTTACACTAATCTCATCCCTTAATGCACCATCACCCTAAGAAAAAAAAAAAAAGAAAAAGGATAAAATGAGTGACAATGTAATGAAAAAGAAAATGTAATGAAAGATAAATGTGTATCACTAACAAAGTTTAAGAGTTTGCAAGTTGGGGGAGCTTTTGATCAAGCTCAGAAGAACTTCGATGTTTCCCAAGTCTAGGAAGTTGACATCTTCGAGATGAAGACCAGTGAGATAATTGAGCTTGTTTGGAAGTTCTTTCATCCCTCCTTGGATGTAGATCTTAAATTAAGAAACACAAAAGGAAAACAATTATCAATTTAATGTCAATCAAGGAAAAGTAGACATATTGAGAAAAGCTTGAATTACCCACCTTTATATTCAAGTACTCAATCATTGGACATTTAGAAAGCAACGTTCCCTAAACCCTCAATATCGACATTGAAAAGTTGTAGTTTAATAGGTCTTTTAAATCCTCTTGACGAAGGAGGAATATTTAACTTGACAAGGAAATCCAAGGTACAACTCCCGGAGGAGATCAAAATCAGTAAGAGGGATATATAGGCACCACCGTGAATCGAATTGAGTATCTATAAGAAAGCGGAAGGCTTTTAATACCATGGGCAGACAAGAACGACAATATTAAACTTAAAAACTCTTGTATCGAATCGAACTAAAAGGAAAAACACAAAAACATCAAAGAGACTTTGGCTCAGTACTTGGCACAACCTTAGAATGTCAAACGGGACTGTGGAGAGGAAACTCCGGCAATAGCTCGGCCACAACCTCAACTAACCGATTAACTCGCAGCACACCAAACCCTAACCACTATTGTTAGAATAGTCGATCCCCACTCTAGACAATTCTCGCCAATCTCTCAACTATATACTAGGAAAATCTCGCCCAACTAATCTAAAGGAAAAACCCCACAAGTTCCTCAATCCATCGCAGAACTGAGAGGAAGAAGACGACCAACAAGAGAGAATCAAGACATGGATGGACTGAATAATCTAGAATGATGTTGAGTAGCGGCAGCACACAAGTTATATAACACACAAACCTAGATCTTAACGCCAGAAACAAAACCCTTCATCTAATGGCTGAGATTTGATCTCGGACAAGTTATATAACACACAAACCTACATCATAACGTCAGAAACAAAACCCTTCATCCAATGGCTGAGATTTGATCTCGGACAAGTTATATAACACACAAACCTAGATCCTAACGCCATAAACAAAATCCTTCATCCAATGGCTGAGATTTGATCTCGCACAAGTTATATAACATACAAACCTAGATCCTAATGCCTAGAAACAAATCCCTTCATCCAATGACTGAGATTTGATCTCGGAATTTTATTGGTTAGCTCCTAATGCCTAGAAACAAATCCCTTCATCCAATGGCTGATATTTGATCTCAGAATTTTATTGGTTAGTGAGCTAGGCCATTATTTAGGTCATGACTTCTCGATTGGGCTTTAAAATGCATTGGGCCTCAGCATGCATTATGGGCCAAAACCAAACAAGATTGACTGAAGAATCAGTTTGGATTCGACAATCTGTGAGTGAGAATTTATTTATGGTCCCTTCGTGAAGAAACAAAACTTGCTCAACCATGGCTTCCACGTTGTTTCTATTACAGGAATCTGGATCGAAAACAAGGTGTGGAATGGTTGTCCATCTATATTTCGAAGCAGAACTTGTAGCGAAAACCATTGAAGGCTCTAATAAATGAAACAGATTGAACTTAAGGTATATTTTCAGCAAATTTTGATTTTGTATTATCGGATTATACGAAATCATAAATTTTATAAAGATTAAGTTTTTGAAATTTTAAGATGAATTCGAATATGCTTGCAATATTTCCTAAAAGGCCAAAAACTAAGATAAATTTTGATTTGTTGACTTTTCGACAAAATGAAAACAACAGTTCGAACTGTTTGGAAAAGTTTACTTATCGGTCAACGAGAAAAAAACTGTAGTAACCCATGCCAAGAAATGGCATGCATTGTGTCTGGATATCGGATATGATTTGAGCTCTCTCGATAATTTAAAATCAAAATACCAAACTTTTACTATTCTTTAGATTTTTCAAAACTCAAAACTTACAAAATATAGTAAAACAGAGCCTAATCTCTCATCATCAAGCATCAAATATCACATAGAGCATTCGATTTCATCGGACATCCAATTCATTGTCGAGCAACAATTTTACATGTATTAAGTACAACCGATAAATGGATGCATCCAATGCTTCATAAGGCCTCAAGTTTAGCCTTTAATCAGATGTAATCATTCAAATTATGAACGAAAACAGATATATATCTTCCTTAGCCCATTTCGCCTCGATCTATTTAACTTCAATCCTTTACAAAATTAAAAAGAGTGAGAAATTCAAGATTCACACCTATTCTGAGTTTTGCTCTATTTTTTTTCCTATCCCATAGTTAATTTCATATAGTTCATCAACATAAGATAAGAAGAAACTACAACTTTCGGAAAATATATCTTAAATTATACCATCTGTCTAATTTATGCAGACTTTCAATTATGTTTACCTAAGAGTATCTCCAAATTCTTCAAAAAAAGCATAACAATATATACACACGACAAAACCAAAACACTGAGAATCCAGTTACAGGATAGATAGAGATTCACTCACAATTACAAACTCCACCCGGCTTCGAATCTGATGCGGGCTGCAGATGATGATCGAGGAAACTTAGCCAAGTCTGTTACCATCTTACTAAAATCCGGCCCGATTTCGACACCCCAGAAAGTAGATTCCAATGTCATATGTTTCAGTGCACTTGCCCACTGCAAAACATTCCTTACGAACTCCATCTCCCCTGCAGAACCGGAGAAGAAGGAGATCTTTACACTTTCCAAGTGATTCAGATGAATAGGGTCTGCAAACTTCATACAGTTAATAGAGAGCTCCTCGACATCAAAGATAGAGTCGTCGCACTAAAAATGAAAATATTGAATTAGTGAAAACAGTGAATGGAACAGAACAGAGCAAATTCATAAAACAAAATGTCACTCACTGAAATATCAAGAGACTTCAAATTTGGAGAGCTTTTGAGCAAGCTAAGAACACAATCAACGTTGTCCAGTGCTCTAAAACTAGTGTCAAGTTTCAGAACATTGAGACGATGATTCAGCTCTTTGTTGCTCTCTTTATCCTCACCAATAATGAATGAGTTCTTGCATAAAAAGGCAAAGATCAATACAAATTCACAGATCATTTTGAATTGATCAATAAGTAGAACCTAACATTGAGAAAATCTCTACCTTCAACTCAAAGTCAAAGCATTCGAGCATCGGACATTTAGAAAGTAATGTTATCAGCTCATCAAGCTCCATTGAAACACACGAAAGTTTGAGTTTAATAAGCCTACCAAATCCACTAAATTGCCATGGAAGTTCGATTCTAACACCTTCAAGACACAAATTTGTGAGGTGTTCCAAAGCAAACAGAACTGAAGGAATCACATGAGAGACAGATTCATGGACATAATAAGAAAGCGAGAGGTCTTCGATATAATGAGTATGGTGGTACGACAAGAAAAGGAGCCATCGATCAATGGCAGCATTCCTTGTACTGGCAGCATTCCTAGTAACTTCATAACATTCCTTCAATGAAAATTTGGTTATAGGTCCTCTATGAAGAACAAGGATTCGATCTACTAAGGATTCAAGATCACACCATCTCAAAGAATCTTTGAATTTTTTATCGAAAACAAGGGCTGGAATTGTAATCCATTTATACTTCCACCCTTTTGAGAGTGTGCTCGTCCTGACAGCATCACGCAGGGGCAAATACCCAATTATGTGGTAAGTCACATTGAATGGAAGATTACTAACCCTATCCACACCATTGTTGCCTCTCGCCATAACTTCACACCCAACCCGAACTGTAAAGACAAATTAAACCCGGCAAATAACTACTGAGCACAACCCTAATTAACGCAGTCAAAAAGCCCTAATCAATCCTTGATTTTATCCCAAGAAATCCTGCAAAACAAATTATCCTGGCTTAATAAACGAAATCGAATACACATACATAAAAATGCACAATAAACATAAACATAAGACCCCTTGAAATTAAGCGAAGAATAAATTATCGGCAAATAACCATAGCAGCAGCTGCAGCGAAACCGAAACATTACATGGTTCGAAACTTCCTTCATTCTTCAAACAGTGAACCGCTGGTTATATATATATATAGAGAGAGAGAGAGGAACATTTTTAAAAGTATATTTTATAAATGAACCTTACCAGTCACCATCGCCGAGAGCAGTAAGACGAAGAAGGATGAAGGATGAGAACAGGAAAGAAAAGAAAGGTGAAAGAAATGAAAGAATACGAGAATATTTGGGTTTGCTTGTCTAAATTATTTTTATTCCAATATATATATATTAGTTTTTATAAAAAGGGAAAAAATTATTTTTTGTCCAATATAAAAATCTTATCAATTTTGATCTCAATATAACCAAAATTTATTATTTTTTGTCCCAATATAACCAAAATTTATTATTTTTGGTCTCAATATAAAATTTTTATCAATTCTAGTCTCAATATAACCAAAACTCTATCATTTTTTGTCCCAATATAATCGAACCTTATTTTTATTCCCACTGCCAACGAACCGACGAAAAATGCATACGTAGACTATGAATAAAATAAAAAAAAAAACATTGAATCGATATTTTACCCCTGTCTTTACCGCTGATTCTTCATATATTTATCGACAGACACACAGGAGGAGGCAGCTGAAGCTTATGACCAACTAACAACATTCCATATAAATATATATATATATAGCAAAACCAAGAGATGACCAAAACATTCGAAACATATTACCCGAGAGATCTTAAGAAACACAAGGATCTTTAAATGAGCCTTTAAATAAGATTTTCGCTGCCGTCAATCGAGGGAGTTTTGCTATGAGTGGCCCCATTTTGTATCTTCCCGGCTCAAACATGGAACAATAAGATGTAATATTCAGATTCTTAAGTTCATTTGCCCACTGCAAAAACTTTCTTAGGAATTCTCTTTCCACGGCATGACTAGACATGAAGATCTTCACATTTTTCAGATGTTTCAAAGGAATAGTTGATGTGCGCTTCAGACAAGCAAGGGCTCCCTTCTTGTTATAATCCATATTATTGATGCACTAGAAAAAAATAAAACGAAAAACATAGAATTAACAACAATGCTAATTGAAATACGAAATATATAGATATATACATATATATACAAAACAATTCAAAATTTGCAAAAACGGACAAAAATTTCAAGAGACTCCAAATTAGGGGAGCTCCTCAACAAGTTCAAAGCACAATTGATGCTGTTTGGTATTGCAAAATAAATCTCATCGAGATTTATATAAGTGAGGCAATGATTCAGCCCTTTGTTCCCTCCATTCTCGTAACCGTCAAATGCACCACCCTTAAGAGTGAAAAATGGATAAGATCAGATAAGAGATCATTTTGCATGGAATTATGGAACTAAGGGTGTGTTCTTTGGGGAGAAATCTCCAAAAATTTTACTACTCATCAATTTTTTTTCCCCAAAAACATTAAATCAAACACCTATTTTTCATTTTTTATATTATACTAAAAATTAATTTTACATTCAAAACATCACATCATACAACTATTACAATTCAAAAAATTTACTAGTTAAATCCTAACTCAAAATCCAAACCCCCAAACAAACACACCCTTAAATATAAACAAAATGCAAAATCAAACTATCTACCTACAGATAAAGGTACTCAAGCATCGGACATTTAGAAACTAATGTTAACAGTTCATCAAGCTCCATTTCGAAATACACAAGTTCAAGTTTGACAAGACAATCAAATCCACCAAATAAAGGCGGAAGTTTGATGTCAACATTTTCAAGATACAAGTGTTTGAGGCAATCGAAAGCGAATACACATGTAGACAGCGCACGATCAGAGTCATCAACATCATAAAAACCAATTTCAAGATTCTCGATATGATGGTTATGATAACTCGACAAGTAAAGAAGCCATTGACGAGTGGAAGAATGTTTCACTTTATCATTAAACTTGACAGAGAACTTAGTTATTGGTCCTCTATGAAGCTCCAAGATTCGATCTATTATTGATCCTAAGGTCATAATCTCCATTCAGTGAGTCCAACAAACTCCAATCGCAAACAAGCTGTGGAATCGTTACCCATTTACATCTCCATTGCTTCGACAATATACTTGTTCTTACAGCATCACATAGAGGCAAAAACCCAATAATATGCTCTATTACACAACAAGGAAGATCGTTAATTCTCTTGGCACTCGGATTAAATCTTGTCATTATTTGATATCCAAACAATACATAGACAGTCTGCAAAAGATTCACAATCAACAAAGATAAGCCCAAAAAACTAACTACAACATTAATTGATGCAAAGAGATATTCTTACAAAAAAGCACAAGCCAATATTGTACCCAAATAAATCTTAGCAACAAATTCACAATCATTTCACCTCAATCGTAACCCTTATTGATAAAACTATAACTAGAAAATGATTTCAACACTAAATTAAAAACTTAACACAGCCAATTAGTTGAGTTTCCCTAGATCGAAAATCTTAATTTCTATCGACTATCGCGATAAACGAAGTGAAAATTTACATCAAATTTCTTCTTTTGCATTCACAGGAAACACATAATAGCACACGAAATCGAAGAATAATATATAAAATGTACTACCCCGAACCGCAATTTCACATTACGAATCGAAAATAATATTAGCAAAAACCCTAATAAGACTCCGTCGCATTGAAACCGCAGCGATTGTCGAGAAATTCAAAGAAAAATGCAGAGAAACTTAACCTGTTCACTACGAGGAGACACTGCGGTAAAACCGAGAGACGTTTCAGTACTCTTTTTATAGTCATTTTAATTTATTTTAAGGAAAAAATGAATATTGTGCTGCACCACCACCAGGTGTTCCTTTATGGGACTATTGTGCTGCAATTCTTGTTTGAAAAATCAATGGTTGAATAAATATTTATGTAGTAAAAATTAAATATATAATTTTTTTCATATTGAAATTTAGTCAAAAAAAAAAAAAATCGATAAAATAGAATTATCAACGTCACATTATTTAATAATGTATGGACCCGAACTATAGGCTTTTGGATGGACCATTGAATTGAAAGGTGATTCCGTTTATTGGATAGAGAAATTTCAAAAGATTCTATTCGATATAATTTATTATATGCATGATTTTCATATTTATTATTATTTTAATTAGGATTGTATATATAATCATAATTACGATTGCTTCTATATTTTTCGACTTGGTTTTTTTTTTTCAATTGATGGGATTTCATTTCCAAGTGTTTAATAAAGCGATAATATTTTTATTCTATATTCTCGTATTTTATTTATCACACACCTATTATTTTCAACAAAAGTAATGTCATATAAGCTAATAGGACATACTAACACTTTACCCATCATATTGTCGTAATTGAAGTCTCATATATATTAGTAATTGAAGTCACATTGTCGTAATTGAAGTCTTAATAGTAATTGAAGTCATTTGTCGTAACTGTCCCATAATAAAGTATTTATTTTTTATTTTAGGCTGTCCCATAACAAAGTATCCATTTTTTTTATAGTAACTATAGGAGAAAGTATCAATTATGCAATGACTTCATTTTATTTTTTCATTTACATCATAGAGTTAGGTAAGAAACAATTTTAAAATGTGTTACGATATTTGTCGATTGATAACAACAAACAAAACTTTGTAACTTAAACGAAACGAACATAGCAATATTCAGCAATGTACGAAACTGTTTGATCAAAAGATCAACCGCACCAAAAAAAACATTAATACAACGATCTTAGAAGACAAAACTTAACATCGATCCAAGAAGCAACAATAAACAAATATGGAAAGTTGGACGGTAATTGCAGACGTCATTTATAGCTTTTGAAAACATGTTATAAGCCAAATAATTACTATTTGGTAAAAACCCAAAATAGAGAAATAGAGGACTAACAACACGACAGCCTCGGACATAAACTATTTCTTTGTTCTATCATATCATAGGAACAATGTTCAAACCTAGTTCAACAAAACAATGTTTGAATAGTAAGTTTTGGAAATCATACACTAAAAAACACGCCCAAAGAACTTCACTTACGCCAATCGCCTTTGAATATGACTTTTGCTGCAGACGACGATCGAGGGAGGTTTCTTAAGGTGGTCACAATCTTGGATTTGTCTGGCTCGATGCCGGCATCATCGCTATCATCATCATCGCTTAGACAAGATTTCAATTTTAATTTCTTGAGTTCAGTTGCCCACTGCAAAAGCTTTCTCACAAACTCCCTTTCCACAGTGTAACCAGACATGTTCGAAATCTTCGCATTTTTCAGGTGGTTGAGAGGAATAGGTGGTGCATCCTTCAGACAATCAATGGCGACGTGCTTATTACCATGACTAGAATGCTCGCTCTGAAAAAATAAAATAAAATAAACAACATAGAATGAACAAGAATGCTGATTGAAATAAGCTAATATATATATATATATATATATACTTGTAATAATTCAAAACTTGCAGAATGAATGCCACTTACTGAAATTTCAAGAGACTGCAGATTAGGAGAACTTCTGAGCAAGTTAAAAACAAAATTGACGTAATCTGGCATTGCGAAATAAATCTCATCGAGTTTTAGAACAGTGAGGCAATGATTCGGTTGTATGTTCCCTCCTTTCTCGGAACCATTTAACACGGGAATCTAGCAATAAGAAACGGATAAGATCAAAAAGGTGATCATTTCAAATAAATTACGGAACTAAATACCAAAAAAGTGCAAAATCAAACCCTCTACCTGCATTTAATACAGAACTCTAGCAATAAGAAATTGATAAGATCAAAAAGGTCGATCATTTCGAATAAATAATGGAACTAAATATTAAACCAAAAGTGCAAAATCAAACTCTTTACCATTAAGAAATGAACAAGATCAAAAAGGTGATCATTTCGAATAAATTATGGAACTAAAAAAAATTTTAAAAAAAAGTACAAAATCAAACACTCTACCTGGAGATGAAGGTACTCAAGCATCGGACATTTAGAAAGTAATATTTCCAGGTCATCAAGTTCCATCTCGACATACATAAGTTCAAGTTTGAGAAGCCGACCAAATCCACCAAACGAAGGCGGAAGTTTGATGTCAACACTTGCAACATACAAATGTTTGAGACAATCAAAATCGAACACACATGTAGGCATCTTATGCAAAGGAATTTTGCCCAGAAAAGTAACTTCAAGATCCTCCATATGATCGCTGTGATAACTCGACAAGAAAAGAAGCCATCGATCAATAGAGGCAGGGTTATGTATCTCAGTATCCTTGACAGAGAACTTAGTTATCGGTCCTCTATGAAGCACCAAGATTCGATCTATTATCGTTTCCAGGTCATCATCATCTTCATTCAACGATTCCTCAAAACTCTCGTCGCAAACAAGCTGTGGAATAGTTACCCACTTGTATCTCCACTTTTTCGACAATGCACTTGTTCCGACAGCATCACAAAGAGGCAAAAACCCAAGAATACGCTCGATTACATTGGAAGGAAGATTGCTAATTCTATCAACACCCGGATTCGATTTCGTCATAATTTTGATATTCAAATAATAAAGAGACAATCTGCAAAAGACACCCGAATTCAATCTCAGTCATAATTCGATATTCAAATAATAAACAGACAATCCGCAAAAGATTCACAATTGTTATGCCCAAAGTTAAATAATTTTTCCCCATATAAATCTTGCAAACAATTCACAATCAATTCCCCTCAATCGTAAACCCTAATTGATAAATCTATCGGTGGAAAATGATTTCAACACTAAATCAAACTACTTATAACACAGGCAATAAGTTGATATCTACTGAATCAAAATTTACATTAAATTTCTTCTTTGGCATTCACAAGAAACACACAAAATAAGGCAAGAAATCGAAGAGTATTTATAAAAATCTACAACCCGAACCGCAATTTCACAACTACGAAAATCGAAAATACTATTAGAAAAACCCTAATAAGACCCCTTCCCATTCAATCCGCAGCGAATGTCCAAAAATTCAAAAAAAAAAAAAAGATAAAAAGAAAGAAAAAGAGTAACTTTAACCTGTTCGCTATAACGAGAGAGAGAAAGAGAGACTGCGGTAACTTTTGTTTATTTGCTTTGCCTGCCTGTATTTATATAGAAATTTTTTTAGGTAATATAATTGTGTCAATAGCGGTCAGTGAATACAAAATAAAGAAAGTTGAAAATATTTTATAGTTTCCATCTATAATTTTATTTTTCTAAAAGCTACAAAATATTTTTCTATTTTTGCATAACCTGTTTAAGTAATTCATCCCAAGTTAAGTATATTCTATTTTATATAATTTTTTTAAATTTTAATAAACATTAAATGAATAAATATATCTTTTATTATAAATATCAATTATAAAATTATAATACTAAAAAATAGGTTGTGGTGCCCAGACATGAATACGAAGGAGGGAAATAGACAGGATGGCCGTAGGTTGAAGGCTTGGCCATTTGAACTACACCGTCGTTCTCATTAATTATTATATAATAATTAGTATAAATCATGATAAGATGACAAAATATTAAAATAAATTATTAAATATAGATAATGGAATATTTTTTTACTGTTAAATATAATAACGCAAAAGACAAATAGTGATATTCTTAGATGTTAGAAATTTTGGGAAAAAATAACGAGATTGTCTTATTGATATCAAAAGAAGGAGATCAAATTAAAATTGAATATTTAAAATATCTTAACATCTCCTCAAACTCAAGTGGTATAACAAAAACAATTTTGACTTTATAAGAATTTTGAATATAAACGCAAAAAGAAAACATAAATAAAATTAGCAGTCGACTCTCCACCCACCGGAGCAAAAGACGAGATGACTCTCCACCGGAGCCGAAAACGACATGACTCCACCGGAGTTGAAAATGATATGACTCCACCGAAACCGAAACCGAAAATGACATGACTCTACCGAAGCCGAATACGAGATAACTCTCCACCGGAGCCGAAAACGAGATGACTCTAGCGGAATTGAAAACGACATGACTCCACCGGAGCTGCCGAAAACGACATGACTCCACCGGAGCGAAAATGAGATGACTCCACCGGAGCCGAAAAGCACATGACTCCACCAGAGCCGAAAACCACATAACTCCACCGGAGGGAAAAACAAGATAGCCGAAAACGAGATAACTCCACCGGAGCCTAAAACGACATGAATTTACTGGAGTTGAAAACGACATGACTCTCTACTATAGTAAAAAACAATGGGAGTACTCTCCACAAAATCGAAAATAACGGGACTCTCATTGCAATAAGAAACATGACTATGGAGAAACGCAATCATTGCAGATAGATGCGTAAACATGACTTCAATCGTAGACAAAATCAGAACTCAAGATAAAATCAAAATTAGAAAAAGAAAGGGCTGAAAACTATAGAAAATAATTTCAAAATTAAGAGACCTCCGGGTACATCCCATGTTGAATGTACGCAAGAACGGACAAATTTCAGATTGTATGCAGGAAGGCTGTGGACAGATGACAAATCTCAGACGAGATAGACTTGCAAAAGCATGATGGATACAATCCAGGTTGAATGTACCCGGAGAAACACGACATGATAAAAATAGGCTATGATACCATGTTAGAAGTTTTGGGGAAAAATAATGAGATTGTCTTATTTATATCAAAAGAAGGAGCCTATATATATAGGCAATACAAAATAGACTCGATAGACTCAAATCTAAGTAATCTAATTTATAAATAAGATCAAATATAGACATAAATCTATTAAAATCTAAAACTGAATATCTAAAATATCTCAACGTTAGAGATAGTATAAATATATAAATAAACTATTTTATAAATAATAAAAACAAAATTAATAAAATGAAATAAAGTAAAATAGGCAAAAATATAATTTAAAAACAAATTTATTAAAAAAATATAAATAAAAATAAATAAAATAGATAGATCATAAATATAAATAAATAAATAAACTAAAAATAGTACCTTCTACAGTGAAATTTATATATTTGCAAAGTGAGTTCGAATAAGTCCCGTAAAGAATGACTTGGTGTAGGGGTTGAACTTATGACCATGAGACCAGGGGTTTGTTGCGAATTCCCACGTCATCCAAAAAAAAAAAAAAAGTTCGCTCTTCATCCCATTTATCATATCCATCCTTTCATTTTCGTCTCATTTATTTTGTAACTTGCATTTTTTAAAAATTAAAAATTATACATTTTAATTTCATTTTAAATTTTTAAATTTTAATTAAACTAATTAGTTATCTTAATTTTAATCTAAAATTATTTTTACCAATAGCCTAGACGGAGGAAGTACATTGTCTAATCGACTAAACATACAAATATGTATAGATGGATCCATAATACTAACAATATGCTATATATACATATATACACTCTGCTACCAAGCTCAGGGCAACGATGGAATCTCGAGCTTCTCAATCGAATAAAACTGCTACCTTCGACGAGGAGGGCGAGAAGCTTTCCAGCTCTTGCAATAAACTCCGTGGCGACCATGCTCCTTCATCGTTCGATTCACAAAAACCAGCTTTGATTTCAAGTTTCTGAAGCACAGTCGCCGCAGATAAAAAGAGCTTGATGAATTCCAGCTCCGGCTCCGCGCCTGAGAAGTTTTCAATCTTAATATTTTTTAGGCTGCGGCTGAGAGGAGTTTTGCGCTTCTGCAACGACTTCAGGTACCGAATGGCGCCATCTGGAGCTGAATTGTCGGTTGTTTCAAACTAGAGGATAAAAATACGATGTGAGTGTCATATGTGAAGAACTATATCAGATACTCCCCTCCTTCCCATCTAATTTGTCTACTTTAACTGGAGCACAGAGTTCTAGGTACAGTGTAATTAGTAAGTAATTAAGAAGTGTATCAGTAAAAATAATTATTCGCTCAGTCCACTAAAAATAGCCCATTTGGGTCCGGCACGGAGTTTAAGAAAAATAAATATTTTATTAAAAAATGATAGGTAGTTGAGGATATTTATAAAAATTTTGTTAAAAATGAAAGTAAATGAAGAAATTGAATATAATAAAGTCAGTGTATTTGTTGTAAATAAATGTTGAATGAAGGGTAATAATTAAATGTCGATTTGTTGACTTTGCCAAAATTAGTAATATGATAAATTTAGTTGACGGATTAAAAAGGAAAATGAGAATAAATTTGGCGGAATAAAAATAATTATAGATTAAGATCAGAATGATTAAATGGTTTAAATAAAATAAAAATATATATATATAAATTATGAATTTTAAAATATGATTAAAATGCATAGGACTGACGGAAATAAAATGAATGGTCAAATTATGTGGGACGGAGGGAACAAATGTGTCGGGGGGAACAAACTGTTACCTTAATTTCGAGTCTCTGAAGATTAGGAGAGCTTCTGATCAAGCAAAGAGCACAGGCAACTTCATCTGTGTGTCCTAAATCAATGTCGGAGAGTTGAATGAGCGCAAGATTGTCGAGGTGGTTAGGGAGTTTCTCCGGGGCACCACCTAAAGCCAAGACCTTACACAGAACAAAAGAAAAAAATAAAAAAGTAAAAAGTTTTCGATCTCAAAAGTCCTGCAATTAGAGTTGATACACGAACTGAGTAAGCTTAAATTTTTTGAGCTCGAATCGAACATATTTTTGGCATAGACTCGACTTGCCTCATTAAGGTGCTCAAGCTCAAAAAGTGACAATTTTACAAAGCTCATATTCGAGCTCCATTATTTTCAATATATATATATATAAAGTTGAGAAAAAAAAAAATACATATATTGTCTCATACACAACTCATCAAAACCAAATTCAAATCCAAATTCAAATTCCACCAACAATTGTATATACTAATGCACAAAACAAACTCTAATTTTGTCAACGGCATCATAAATACAAAAAAGTAGAACATATATATTCACATCGCTATGTATGATGAAAAGATTCAACAACAAAAATCGCAAGCCAAGCTCGTTTAGAAAATTAGGAATCCTTGGGTGTGTTTGGTTTTGATTTGACATCACTATTCGGCTTTCATACAATTTTCAATAAAAATACACTATTTCATTTCACAAAATATTACATTAAAATATCATCTAAACCAAAACTCGTATAGAAAAACGCAAATTCAAATTAAAACCAAATAACTTGAGCTCATGCAGCTTGTCTATCTCAATAAACGAGTTTAACTCTAGCTCTTAACGAGAAAAATAAATAAAATAAGATAATAGTTTCATACACAAGGCAAGAAAACAAAACGACGAACAATTCCTTTAGTACCTGCATAGTGCGGCCGTTGATTTCCAATCTTTCGATGGACGACAACTGAGAGAAGATCTTAAACAGGTTGAGTCCATTTCCGGGAGATTCAGGCATTTCGTAATCTTCAACTAATATCCCTTCCTCCGACAGAACAAAATCAGAGTAACAAACAGAAAGCTCCTCGAGTGCCGCATTTCCAAACCACATCGAACTGAATTTGCCCCAAAAGTGTAGTGACTTAAGTTTAGGAGCATCGATATCAAAGTGCCAAATCGAGTTTCCATTGAAGCTACGCATGTTCAAAAACTCAAGCACAGGACATTTCGACAAAAACCTCTTAAACTCACAGAGCTCAAACTGCACACTCACAAGATCAAGCCTAACAAGCCTACCAAACCCCTCGAACGTGGGAGGGGGCCTAACGTCACAATTCGCAAGATACAAATGGCGTAAACGATCGAAACTAAACAGGAAATGAGGCATCGAGTGGTAAGTCGGCGAGTAGGAAAACCTAAGGGTGAGTTCTTCAATACAATGGTTCGACAACAAATCGAGCCAGTGATGGATCCAAGGATTGTGTTTGATATTTATATCCTTGAGAGAGAACTTAACTATTGGTCCTCTATGAAGCAACAAGATTTGATCTATAATGGATTCTAGGTCACAATTTCTATGTAATGACTGCTTGAAATCTCGATCGAAAACAAGGTTCGGAATCGTTACCAATTTGTACCTCCACTCTCGAGAGAGTATGCTCGTCCTCGCCACGTCGCGCAAAGGCAAATTGTTGAGAATGTGGTCCGTAATATCGCAGGGGAGATTGCTGATTCTGTCGACTGCAAAAGCTCCTTCGAAACTCGTTGCAGCCATGGCGACGGAGAGAAATCTGCCACAGATTATTAGTTAGTACACAAACAAAGTCATAAGCAACAGGTGAATCGAGAAATTCGAACAATTTGATAATAAGCCTATAAATTTTCCCCAAAATTAAAAACCCTAATTTAAGTCCATAAACCAGAGAATTGAGAAACATCGCGACCTAGACGAGCTCCGATTGTTCATAGAACCATAAACGAATTGGTCCGCACATTCAACAGAGAATTCCACCATTTTAGTGTGGAAAAATGCTACAGCCACAAAATTTTAAATTAATTGCAGAGAAAATTACCTTTCACAGCAACTGAAACAGGCAGCGGAGCAGATTGGTGATGCTCAATTACAGAGTCACGCGAAATTGAGATTGAGCTGATGATCCAAACCCTAATTAGCGTTGGCACATGTTTGATCTTCTTGAGAAAGTTCACTGATTGTGCACAAAACACGACATACCACCATTTTTGGGACATTCGAATTTTTCATTTTTTTTATTACTATTAAATTTTTACATGTAATGGTTTGTTTTGTTATTTGATAATTCCAAATTTAAATTAATACTCCCTCCTACACCTCTACGGTTATATTTATTTTATTTTATTGTACTTAATATATTTATATAATATTTTGTATAAATGTCTTGGACACGAGATTTAAAAAATATTATATTACATTTGCTAAAAAGTAAGGATAAATTATTTATTTTTCCTTATGAATATATTAACATAAAAAGTAGTGACAATTATGAAATAATAATGAAAAAATATGAATAATTTTATGGTGATATGGTTATTTATGAAAAATATTATTGTTTTGGATCAGAGGCAAACAAACTATTATACTGAGATAGAGTATCTTTTATTCTTCATTCATTCATTATTTTTAATTTCTACTTTAAAATAAAAGATAAATTTGTTAATTTATAATCACAAAGCAATTACATAAAAAATCCGGGTAAATATATTTTAGAACAAAAAAATTTGGACCGAGGGAGTAATTATTTATCATTATTACACTAAAATATTATGTTAAAAACTAAAATTTCATATTTTTTTCATCCCAAAATAATAATACCTTTTACATCCCAAGAGAATTATTTTGTTTTTTTTTTTACCGTCCTAAAACAATTATATTTCCCTATTTAGTAAGTCCTCACTTTACCAAAAAAAAAATTATTCATACTTTTTCAAACTATCCTTAGTTATTACTATAATCTACTTTTTAAAATTTAAAAAAAAAAAACAAGGGTACTTTTGTCATTTACATTCTATTTTATACCAAATTCCAATTTAACGGACACTATGACACCTCTTTTAGGACGGAGAAAGTATTATTTGTATTGGATGTAAAATTTAAGGAATATTAATATTACATTGGTAGTCGATAAAAAAATATAAGTAAAAGTTTTTTGTGTTTTTTTTTTTTTTTGTGCTCTTATGAATTGTAAAAAAATAGTGACATTTGTATAATAATAAAAAAAATAGAATAATTTGAAGTGTAATATGATTATTTATTGAGATGAAACTGTTCTTTTAGAATGAACAAAAATAATAAACAACATTATTGTATTAGTCTCATTTCAAATTACTTTTTGAGCAAAAATTATTTTTGATCTTATTACAATTATCAATTATGATCACATTAAAAATATTTATATCAATTTTGACCACATGTAATTACTATAATTTATCAATTTTAGTGCAATGATATAATGATTGAATACAACCATGTTGAATGACATAGAAATAAGATTAAGGGTATGTTTCTTTTACACCAAATCTCAGATTTTTACTATTTTAACTCTTCGTTTTTTGAAAAAATATATTTTTTTCTCTCACAAAACATCATATTATACATTATTTTAATATCAAATTCAAACCAAAATTTTCCTAAACTCATCTAAAGAAACATACCCAACCGCCATGTTTATTACTCTACTCTAAATATGATGTGTTCATGTCCATGTTTAGGACCATATTTTTGCCCGAATTGATATTTATGTTTTGAACACAATCATATTTGTGTCCACCTTCACGACCATTTTTTTAATGATCACAAAGAAGTATGATTCAAACTGAATTATAAATAATTTTACTTTGAAAAAGTTTAAATACTTCCTCCGTCTCTTAGAAAGATTGTCATTTATTTTTTACATGTAAATTTTTTAATATTAGTATTATATTAAGTTATAGTGAAAAAGACGAAAATATCCTTATTAGTATTATGTAATATAAAATTAATTGCATTTGTATAATATAGTGTAAGTTGGAAGGATATTTATTATGTTAAGCAGCTAGTACAATTAGTAAATTAGAAAATTGTAATCTTATTTTGAAACAAACGAAATGAAAAAATGACAATCTTTCAATAGGACGGAGAGAGTAAAACATATTTTAAGCCTTGTTGCGGGTGTGTTACTTTGGTAGATTATTCTGGATTTTTATTATTCATCAAATTTTTTTTCAAAAAAATATCAAATCAATTATTATTTGGTTTGGTTTCCAACATAGGAATTTAGGTAAATAATATTTCTTCGGTTCATTCACAAAATATAAACTCTCTAATTTATCATTATATTATTACATTTACTTTAAAAGATAAAGGTAAAATTATCTTTATGTTATTTTTAACTCTACAATTAAAATATATTATTTTTTAAACTTTTCAAAAGTAAATATTTACTTATAAATTAGACAGAGAGAATATTATATACTCCTTCCTTCCGGCATTTTTGAAATGGTCATTTGCTTTTTATAATGGATTAAGAAAGTATTTTATTTATTAGTTGAATTTTGTAAGATACTTTTGATATATTTATCCTTAAATATACAAATAAAATAATATTTATTTCGTCCCAAAAAAGATGTCTTATTGAGAGTGGTCAGAGAATTAAAAAATAATAATATTTAATTAAAAGTAGATATAATGTAGAAGGTAAAAAGACTAAAATACATTGCATTTTGAATGATTTTAAAAAGTAAATTAGAATAATAATCAGTGGTAGTTTGAAAAAATATGAATAATTATAAAGTGAGGACCACGAATATTAAATAAAGAAACAAGACAATTGTTAAAACAAGATAACTCTATTGGGACGAAGGGAGTAATATTTTTGTAATTATTATAAAAAAAAAATATTTTAATATTTGTGTATAAAGTATTTTTACTGTATAAAAAAAATAGTTTTGAATGAGAAAAACAAAAAAAATAAAAATAAATAAATAAATAATAATGAGTTAGAAAGGAAAAATATATATATATATAATAAATTGAAAATTAGATAATATTGTATGATTAAAAATATACTCTTTTTGTCCTAAAACACTATTTTTATTCATTTCAAAATAATAATTTTATTTCAATTTTGAGTAATAAGCTCTGTACTTTTTTACAAAACTATTCTTATTTTTTCACAATAATTACATAAATGATAGGCATTTTGGGTATATATTTTTATTCATAGCGATGTAGTGAAATAAAAATATAATTAGTTATTTTTTATTTAAAAAATATTAAAACATATATAGTACATATTAAAATAAAAAAATATTGAAGGAGACGTACATTAGTAACAAAAACTTAACTACAGCCATACGTTTCAGTCTGGGATTTACTGTAGTCTCTCTCTTTCTCGTCAAAGTTACTCTGCATTTTCCTTTGAATTTTTAGGCATTCACTGCGGATGGGATCTTATTATTAGGGTTTCTGCTAATAGTAATTTTGACTTCGTAGGTCTGAAATTGCGGTTTGGATCGTACATTTTACATATTATTCTTCGATTTGTGTTATTACGTGTTTCCTGTGAATGCAAAAGAAGAAATTTAATGTAAATTTTGATTTCGTATACGCCGCTAGTTTGCTGATGTTTGATAGAAATTAGGGTTTCGATTGAGGGAAACTCAACTAATTGGCTATGTTATAGTAGTTTAATTTAGTGTTGAAATCAATTTTTACTCTGAGTTTAATCAATTAGGGTTTACAATTGAGAGGAACTAATTGCGAATTGATTACGAGATTCATATGGAGAAAATGTTGATTTGTGCTTTTTTTTTTTTTTTTTATGTTAAGAATTTCTCTTTGTATCCATTAATGTTGTAGTTATTTTTTTTTGGCATATCTTTGTTGATGTGAATCTTTTGCAGATTGTCTATGTTTTTGGATATCTATTTACGATGAGATCCAATCCTGGTGTCGATAGAATTAGCAATCTTCCTTGCAGTGTGATAGAGCATATTATTGGATTATTGCCTCTATATGATGCTGTAAGAACAAGCGCATTGTCGAAAGAGTGGAGTGGAGATATAAATGGGTAACTATTCCACAAATTGTTTACGCTTCGGATTTCCCGCCGTCATTATATGGAAAATATAATGACATAGAATCGGTAATAGATCGAATCTTGGTACATCATAGAGGACCTATAACTAATTTCTCTGTCAAGGATAATGATATAGAGAACTCTTCCATTGATCGATGGCTTCTTTTCTTGTCGAATTATCATAATCATCATATCGAGGATCTTGAAGTTACTTTTCAGGGGACAAACCCTTGGCATATATTGCCTACATGTGTATACGATCTAGATTCCCTCAAGCATTTGTATGTTGCAAATGCTAACATCAATCTTCCACCTTTATTCGATGGATTTGGTAGGCTTGTCAAACTTGAACTTGTGTATGTCGACATGGAGCTTGATGATCTTAAAACATTGCTTTCTAAATGGCCGATGCTTGACTATCTTTATATGCAGGTTGAGAGTTTGATTTTGCACTTTCTTGATATGTAGTTCCATAATTCTAGTCGAAATAATCTCCAATTTGATCTTATCCATTACTTATTGCTAGAGTCCCTTAATTAAGAGTGATAAGAAAGAATGCAACAAAGAGCCTAATCATCGCCTCCCTGTTCTAAAACTTGACGAGATTGATTTTGGAGTGCCAGACGATGTTAATTCCGTTTTTAACTTGTTCAGAAGCTTTCCTAATTTGCAGACTCTTCAAATTTCAGTAAGTGACATTCTTATGGCAATTTTCGATTTTTTTGGTACATATATTATTGTATTTCAATTAGCGATGTTGTTGATTCTATCTGCTTCGTTTTATTTTTTTTCCAGTGCGCGTATTCTCTTTATGGTGATAGGCAAGTTAACTATAAGCGCGCCCTTGATTGCCTGAAGCATGCGCAGACTATTCCTCTAAAACATTTGGAAAATGTGACGATCTTGGGCATGCCTTGTTATGCCGTGGAAAGGGAATTCGTGAAGAAGCTTTTGATGTGGGCTATTGAACTTAAGAATTTGACGATATTTGCTTGGTCTGAGGGTGTCGGCATCGAGCCAAACAGATCCAAGATTGTGAAAAAATTTAAAAAGCTCCCTCGGTCATCATCTTCGGCAAAAATCGTATTTGAAGGCAGGTGGCGTATGTGAAGTTGCTGTGTATATATATATATATATGTATGTATATATTGTTGTTAATTAGTTTTTGCCTACTCTGCTCTACTCTCTATTTTGGATGTTCATTCGAAGTGTAGACTTCTGTAGTTATGTCTAATTCTGCCTTTGGCATTAATTTGGATATTGTGTTGCTGCTACTTAATAATATGGTTTATATTTTCCTTTTATGGTCTGCATTATTTCAATATTGTATATTTATCTTCATTTAACTATTTTTTAATTATTTTTTTAGTGAGATTCATTTATAAATAAGTTTCGAATAAATTCAAATTTTAATTAAATGAATTTATATTTATTAAATTAAAATCAAACAGGCTGTCTATTTAGACGAGTTTGGGACAGAGTTAATATTATGATATAGAATATAAAGTACATTTTTAGAAACATTCAAAATTAATTGTTATATCATTTTGGTATTGTTTGGTTAACTTTTCAGTCTCTATATTGAATTGTGCTCTTAAATAATTACACCAGATTTGAAATTCAGTTTCTCTCTGATCCTGTTCATCAGAGCTTTGACAATTGAAGGTGTCATTTTTATTTATCCATTAAAATAAAAATAATAATAAAATTATGAGTATGTAATACAAAACCTAAAACCAAATTAGATGAACGTCTCCAGGTTTACCGTGTAATTTGCTTTGTCGGACCTAATTTGCAAGATATTAGGTTCGGTCGGTTTACCCAATGTGCATTTCCGGATCCATTTCGACGATACTTTGAAGCTCACCACTGTTCCATAAGTTCTGCAGAGAATTCACAGGAGCAACGCTGAAATCTACGAATAAAATCGGAAATCAAACAGCCAAATAAAATCGGAAATCAAACAGCCAAATAAAATCGGAAATCCGATAGGCCGTGACTGATCCATTACACACCTGTCGTAAAGAATGATCAGCCTGGAATTGCCGCGCAGTCGATGAGCCGGAAAAGCCATCGATTATTTCCCGAGGAAAATGTTCGACGAAAGGGAGGGGCGACGAACTCCGTCCGTCGAGGATATTTCGATCGGTTTGATACTGTTCATCAATTTTTTTTCCCCAAAAATATTAAATCTAACACATATTTTTTATTTTTTTTACAGTATACTAATAATTAATTTTACATTCAAAACATCACATCAGCACCTATTTATATCACATCATACAACTATTACGATTCAAATTTTTATTATTCAAATCTCATCTCAAAATCCAAACCTCCAAATAGACACACTTCATTTCAGTTACGATGGAGAATTTCAAAACTCGAGAATTCGGATTGATCTTACGTATTTAGATAGCGCATTTCGTATGTCGGGTTTGACCATGGCGAGCTTCATCGACAGAAACTACAAGAAGAAATACAAAACTCGAGAATTCTGATTGATCTTACATCTTTAGATGCGCATTTTGTTCGAAAAGAAAAAAAATGAATGAAGATTTTTTCTACCTCAACTTGCTGCTGTAGTGATTGAACATAATTGATAATCTCATCGAGCATCACAGCTTTCCCGGTTATCTTCAAAATTATCAAAAAAATCGACAACAAAAAAACAAAATTCAAAGATCGATCGCAGATAAAGGTCGAAACAGATAAAAGAAAAGACAGCAGCGACGATGTAACGCAACCTTATTACAGCCGGGAACTAATTCTTGCAGCATCTTCATCCTGTCACTTATCTTTTCTCTTCTAACCTGAATCAGTCCGCACCCATTATTTAAGGTTGTCGTTAGTATCTCAAATATAAATCAAGAACACAAAATTTGTAATACTATAATACAAATGTTGCATATGAATCGACAGCACATGACAATAGTATATATAACGAACATTATCATTGATTTCAACACAAAAGATATGTTCAATAAACGCAAGCAAAATATTTGTAATTTGCGGTAAAATATGTTGTAGGATTGCGGAGTGAGAAGTTACCCTTTCGGCAAGACTATGGCTATTTGTTGCCCGTCCCCTTTTGGCTCTCACATGAATGCAATTTTCTTTACAAAGGACTTTCATTTCGCCGACTTCTTTAAGGTCGTCTCCAATTGGATCCTTCCACGTTTCTTCGAAATCCTATAATCAAACATGAATTGATAACAAACAACATTGGTAAGAAAATTACAAGAATTGGGTACATCAAAATTATACCTTTCTTTTCCTCTTTCCATTAGACAAGCTTACGAAACCCGAATCACCCGAATTCGGACAATGTTTTTCAGCTAGGCGGGAATCAGAAGGGAAATACTGATCCAAATGGGAAGAAACAGCAAACTCATTGTGAAGAACAAGATTTTCATATCTTCGAATTCGATTATCCGAAACAATGTTGTCCCAAGAACAAACAGGCAATTCTTCAACATTGTAAGAGATCAAAGAAATAGGACAATCAAGAACACTCTGTTTGTTCCAATCCCCAATCCCTTCAGAATCCATTCTCAAGAAACAAATGCCAAAGAAAACACCTCCCCCAAACTTCCAATTTCTAAATCAAAAGCCACAAAATTGAATTGCTCTGTAATTTCAAGAACCCTAAAATCAGTTCCAATCTTAAGTACAAAAAAGCAATAAGCAACAAAGTTTGATTCCTTCAGAGCATAAAGTAGACTATGCAAAAGCTAAACAAACAAATAAATAAAACAATGGCTAAGTTACTGCACAGAAGAAGCAGAAAAAGTGCAAAGAAAGCAGATTCCTCTTTCCCCTTTTTCACTGCAAATTTAATTCCTCAAGCAACAATAACCATGGCGGAATGATCAATTAATGCTAAATAACGAACAAAAACAAACAAGAATCCTTCGATAGAAGCCTAGAGCAGCAAAATTAGAGGCAGCCTTTTGAGACATATGCAAAACTTGTCCGCTGGGGAATTTTAACAAACAGAATATGTGCACACATTGTCAGAGAAGTACTGCTATATTTGTATTCGATTTCATCACTCACCACGATAATGGCAGCACTTGTTTGCTTCGTTTACACACAAGAAAATGAAATTGAATCAGAATCAAGAGGAGGAGGAGGAGGAGGAGAAGGAATCGAGCTTCCATTTTTGTAAAATTGATGCCAAATGTTGCGATTGAGGGTACATGAACATCGCCATATAAAGACTTGATCATATCTGCCGCTGCAGAATTTAAACTTTTTTCCAGAAAGTAATCACTGCTAAATCTTGATTAGAGTTTGGCTGGCTCACATATATATATATATATATATATTTAACGTGGAATCCACAGCCCGACCGAATACCGCAAATTAGATCCTACTGGCAAATCATAATATTAATATTATGATTTATTATTTTAATTTTAAATAGTAAAATTTTGAATTAAAATAATAATTTAATATTTAATGTGATATAGATATATATATTGATATGATATTTTAAATATAAAATTAATTTTTTAAATATAATATAAAAAATAAAAAATAAATTTTAATTTAATATTTTTTAATGAATAATAAAAATCCTTTAAAATATTTTATTAATATTGTATACTTACTCTCTGTTCAAATAAAAATAATACTCCCTTATTCATTTAAATTTATACATTTTTTTGTCAAAAAATATTCGCATTTTTTTTTAAGTAAAAAATTATTACACTTTTGTATTTTTTTTCTATAAAAAAATAAAATAAATAATTATTATTACTCACTTCATATCCGTGAAATAAGCACTTAAGACTGTATCATGAGTTGTAATTAAGTAATAACCTGTATTTGTATTATATTAGCCCCGCCATTTATTTGATATAATTGTTCACTTAAAAAATGTTAAACTACCGAAAAAGTATTAAATAAGAGCACATTAAATAGCACAATACGAAAACTCGACAAGAGAGGTTAATACCGATCATTTTATTACACGAATTCAAGCGTCGTTCCGCGAAGCGAAGACGGGATTCATCCCGACGGCAATAAGATCATGCAAGGTGTCCAAAAATCCGGGATGTCGATCGTTACCAATGCCGGAATCATCCATGCTCGAATGGTCGCGACACAGAGACGACGGAATCCGGCGAACTGTCGACCGAAGCTCTGCTGCGGTGGCGGCGGCGTTATCTTTGGCCTGCCTCGTGGTCTCGCTACCGCCGATCGGAAGAGCTCCAGTTGCCATGATCTTAGCCACGTCGTATTGCGAAATGTCGAAGTTCGTGACGGCCCCGACTCCCCGGAACTTGATGGCTGCTACATCATAAGCTTCGGCTGCCTCCTCTTGTGTGCCTGTCGATAAATATATATATATATATGAAGAACCAGCGGAACCAACAATAAAAATTCATATGGATAAAATATCTATTTTTTTTTTATCGATTCAATATTTTTTTTATTTTAAAAATAGTACACCCTAACGAAAAAAAAAATTAAAAATTAGAAGAGACAAATTACTATAAAATATATAATTTTATTATTTTTACGAACAAAAATACATATATTTTGGAGTTAGAGGTCAGGATCCCTAGTCCCTATGTAGTTCCACCCATGTGAAGAACATATCATCATATGGACACGATCAATTGATCGAGGAGAATTCCGGATTAATTAAGAGTCGAGCCACACAATCGATAGATTAATAGCAAGGAGAATTCCGGATTAATTAAGTGTCGAGCCACACAATCGATAGATTAATCGATCGAGCAAGGAGAATTCCGGATTAATTAAGTGTCGAGCCACACGATTGATTGATTAATCGATCGTGCGAGGAGAATTCCGGATTAATTAAGCGTTGAGCCACACGATCAATAGATTGATCGATCAAACGAGGAGAATTCCGGAATAATTAAGCGTCAAGCCGGGCTTACCAAAAGTTCCGAGGTAGAGGTCTTTGTTCCCGGAAACTCGGCCAATTCTAGCTTGCCATCTCCCATGGTGATGGTGCCTATATAGATAAAACACCACCATTAATTCTTGAAAAAAAAAAAACGAAATTTCGAATAGAAATAAAAAAAGTACATGTAAGAGAAAAAAAATGTATTTAATATGATATTTTCGAAAAAATTATTGTAGATAAATAGTGACAGATTTTAAAAGTATATGTATAAACAAAGCCCGAATACTCGGTAGCTCGGGAAGTTCAAGCCGACGCAAGATCAACCTCGTGACACCTCTGTAGATCGAAGCACCCCTCGAAAATCCGCTACTTTTCCTAAAGAATGGGATCCAAGAACTCAGTTTTTTAAGATGTTAATTGAAACTAGTAATTTGTTTGATCATGGTACCTCCTCAAGTGTGCGACATACTCTTGCCGAGTCATGTTCTTCATCTCCTCGAGCTCTTTGTAGTAGTTTCCCAACTGCCAAAACAAAATTTTCAAATATGTATGTATATATATATACATCGAATTGCATGGCTCTTGTGGCGAATAAAGGAATTCATGGAGATCTAATGAACAAAAATGGTGCATACTGGGAAGTTAATGTAGGTTGAGTTTCCCCAATATTTGAGGGCTGCAAGATCATAAGCTCTGGCAGCTTTCTCTTCATTATCATACCCTCCTGAAAAATGTTATTACATCATAATCCAAGACGCCGATGGAGAAAACATCGACACTGATTTACGAGAGATTTCTCGACGGAATTGTGTTTTCTTACCGAGGTAAACTGAATGCAGAATTCGGTTTTGTGGGAGTGCAAATCAGGACCAAACATGGCAGCAGCATGGGAACAAGAATTCAGGCAATGTAAGAACTCAATAAATAAATAAAATACTCCATTTGTCCCATATAATTACGTCAATTTTCTTTTATTGGTTTCCGTTAAACTTATCTATAATCTATTTATAGTAAAAAATTTATCTATGTATAATTATATTACACCCCTATTTTAACTTTATCTACCTCATTTTATTTTTTATGAATTCCACTTTTATATTGAAATATTGGAGTATTATTTTTTAGTGAAAAGGCAGTAATAAACTACACATTACAGAAAACTTAAAAGGGATTTGAGTTTGTGTAATCTAACCTTGTTTTCCTTTTCGAGTTTGTCCCTCTTTCTTGCAGCTATTGTCCCATAAATGAGCTTCATACCTACCTGTCCATCTATGTCTGTAAAAACACAAAATGGCAAAAATTGAGCTGATTACGGGAAACCAAAAAACAGATCTTTGAAATTTAGAGCAGACCTGGTGACTCCTCTGTACTGAGAAGTTCTGTTACCAAAGGAATCTAAGGATTTTCTTGGTGCCATTTTCCCAAGGAGGTTTCTTTTGCTTTCCATGGACATATATTCAGTAATGCAGCTTGACTGGGAGCTGGATAAACTCAATGGCGGGATTTCAGCACTCCTAATTTCAGGTTTTTCATGAACAACAAGGTCGGAAGGAATCCATGTCTTATTCAGACATGGTGAGGAGTATTGGTTGCTGTAAGTAGCAGCCATGTCCAGAGGTGAAACCATGGCATCCCTTTGAGCTGCCATTGTCAAATCTTCAAGTTGAGGGGAGGAATCTGAAAATTGGAGAAATGGAAAGGCATTTAGAAAATCCCAAAATATGATGCAAGGAAAAATGAGTAAGCAGGCAGACCTTGTTGATGGGCTGCGAGGAGGCAGAGAGAACCATCTGACTTGACTGGCATTAGTGGGAAAGGGAAGAGGGAAGAGAAAAGCTTGAGTCTTGCTGAAGTAGAAGGATCTGAAGTGGCCGCCATGGCTATGGCCTCCATTTTCATTTGGTTTGAAGGATAGAAATCTAACCAGTTGCTGCCATGAGTTTTGCTGCTCACATTCTTGTGATGCATCATCTTCTTCTACTCTATGACCTGTGTGTGATATAATATATAGAGAGAGAGAGGGAAAAAGAGAGACAGAGAGAGAGAGTTCTCCTGATGGTTGAAATGATTACACTATTTTCTTCCCAATGATTGATTTCCCATTTCCCCCAAAAGAATTTCTATGTATACAAATATTTTGTTTTGGTGCTGTGTCCCAACTGCAAACCTCTCTCTCTCTCTAAAAAACATGAGTTCCAGGAAGCACACATAAAGACAGACAGGCAACCACAAATATGTCTGAGCAATTAAACCAAACGACAAACAATAACAGACGCATAATTTACATATGAATGGAGCCATTCTTCAGTCCCTTGAAAAAAGAGTCAAAACAAGTAAACTAAAACTAAAGGCATTGGTTGATCATTTAAGTATATTGTTATTTTTCAATATTTTATTATTGGTATATATATAATGTGTAGCTGAAATGATGCACTGGGCAGGCAACTCACTGTAGGATCTGCCCCCAAGTTAATGAATTCTACTTGGTAAAGTAAGCTATGATTTTGTCTTCTACTTAGATGCATGCACATATATATATCCTGGCAAATTGGTAAAAACAGAGACATTTTTTGTCAATATTTAAAGAACAATTTCCTTCTTTCAGTTGTCTTGTTTAAGTATGGACCACACCATATATGATGTATGCTCAGCCAATAAATGTATGTATCTCTCTCATCTAATTAACACAAGGGGATCACATGTCGTCTTGTTGAAGTCCATATCTCAACATACTCAAATGAGCTCTCTAAGTTTGGACAGAATACACAGTTTCTTAACTTAATTTTCATATCAAGATAGAAGTAGATATAGTTTCACATCAGTAACCAATTCTATAACAAATGGAGTATTTTATTCCTTGATTTCGGGAGATTCAAAGGATGAAGACCCTTTGTGACATTGATGTGATGAGTGAGTGACAAAGGGATTCAAACAAAGGGAGGCACTGCAGAGATATTGGAACACTGTTCAATAAACCCAAACTAAAGGCTGCTTTTAATTCAGTGGCCCTGCCAGAGTGGCTTAGATTGGACTTAGTACATATATACATGTACATATACATGAAACACAAATATGTATATATGTGTTTTTTTCTAAAAAAAAAATAATGAATGTAAACAAACAAACCCAAAATGTCAAATAAAAAGATTTAGGTCTAAACTAGGGCTCTAATATCATTCTTGATCAGTGAGAAATTAATCGCATAGTTATTACCTCTATCAAACAGAAAACACAATTTACTGTCCAACATGTATGTGTGTATATATACAGGCAGCGCATGCATGTACAGAGAGGAGTAAATGAATGGGAACGTACTAAAGATGCAAACTGGAGCGTGTGACTGTGTCTGATTAAAGGAGACACAGAAAATCCAACACAAAATATCCAATGGCCCCAATAAAATGACACCCCCCCTAGTCTAGCTGTTGCAAATTCATCCCAGCCCTTCAAAATTCCTCCCCATTCATCCATGGAGTTTGTTATTCATGGCATGTAGTAAAGAAACAATTTTTGTACTAAAATGGGTGAAGAAAAATAAATTGGTTCATACCCTTTTTCCTCAGCCAGCAATGATGGGTCATTATCTACCTCACTGTGTTGTCACATTCACCATAGATTTTCTCTCACTCTTTTATCACAAGTAGCAGATGACCTCAGTGGGGCTTCTCTTTAACACAAATGGAGTAATAACCTAAGAAATTAGAAGTGAATAGATATATATATATACACAAAATTGATATACACACCTATAAACTTTTTATTGTAAATGGGATCAGGTTTTAAATTCAGATATTTGGAGCTGTAGGGTGCCTGCTATATGGCAATGTCACACATTAATTTTGCAGCTAAGCATCTATCTGATGGAGTGTCCAAATGTAGGAACTAATGAATTGGGGGTTAGTGTAACAAAATTTATGTCCATCATATGTAAAACATCTTTGTTTTTTCTTTTTTCTTTTCCATTATACCGATGCACGGTAACCTTCAGTGACAACATCATAGACACAGGAGGTGTTACAAAAATGGGGCAACATATGATCACCATCTTCTCACCAATGATGTAAGCAACTGCAACAAATTCAAAACTGATTATCATTAACAAACAGGACAGAATCTGAAATATGGCATGGGATTATAGTAATCCTATATTTCTCATTGTGTTAGAAAAAAATTCTACTGATTTAAACACAAGTTTGTCATGTTGTAGTTTTTACATTGTACCAAGGGCCAATTCAACTCAACAACATTTGTGAGCAAAATTCACTTGAGTTGTATTATTCAAAGGCCAACGCCTGACTAAAAACATCGAATTAAAATATGACTCAAACTTAAGCATTTCAAAGTAATATTATCACTCCTAAATATAGGAAAATAATCATATTCAACTGCTAATGTCTACTCACATAAACAATTATTGCCTACATATCTATAGCTTGTTCACATGAAAAAAAAATTAATGAAAGTTGCCGTCCAGAAACACTACTCAGTTTCACATATCCAACACAAACCCAAGCATTGATCGTATGACAAAAACACCTATTCATCATGTATATTAGAAGTTCATGAGAATGCATAAAATGAACCATCAAAACATAGAACCTCAATGTGAATATAATGAATATTCAATTGTACTTGGAAGGGAGAAAAATCACACCTCAAATAGTTCGAAAGGGCTGCCACGCTTGTATACATCATTGCCCTTGTTCTTGTTACTTGGAAAAATGCTGAACAGTAGAGCTCTCCATCCCACAAGCAGCACACCCGTGCTTCCCATTGTGACTAAGATGAAATTGGTAGGTGGTATATGTCCGATTGTTATAGCCCTTATCATTATTCCGAGCTGCAGTTTGGAGCAAAATTGCTTAAGCTAATGAAGCTTGAAAAAATAAAAAAGAAAAACAATTATGTAACTTAACCACCCTAACACATCAACCTAAATGTTTGATAAAAATAACACAGCTGCACTGTACGAATTAAACCATAACTCAAACGATTGAGATTCTCTACCCATCCTTCTTCAATATTTGGTTAGTTGATTTATTCCAAAACAAAGACAGAGGACCAGCGAAAGTGCTATGTTGTAAAATGCATTAAAATTGGATGCATAGCCATAAAAGGCCCACGGCACGCACTATTAAGTACTAATACATTTTGATAGACATACTACATTTACATGCAAGAAAACAGAAGTATATGAGAGTAAAAGAGGAGGCAGAAAAAATGCGGTAGTTAAACAGAAGATAAAAGAAAACACTGCCTCTATTTCTTTTACAGTTTAGATTAAAAAAACAAAAAAAACCCTAATAAATTTATATAAAACCTTTGCGCCTTGTGCCATGGCATGCCATTTACAACAATGATTAGAAGCAAGGAATTCGATTCAACATTCTTTTACAATAAATGGGTAAGCAAGAACTCGAAAACAAGAGACAACTACAAGATAAAAGACAGAGCTACCGGAATGCCCAAGGACCAGGACTTGGCGGCGGCAATCACAGCACTTCGCAGACCATTCTTTCCTTTGCCATCTTCTCGATATCCCCCAAGAAAATATGCACTCAAGAACCATCCTGTCATCCAAAAGTGCAATTCCCAAGTTCTTATAAGATAGTTTAATATAAATGCCATTACTCCTACAATCTACCATCCTACTCTGAAAAAAACGAGTGCTTGTTTATCATTTTAGTCAAGTCTACAAAAAATGTGCTCATACCACATTAAGTAAACAAATTCAATCATTATTTAAATTTCTACCCACTATTCTCCATCTATTTACACCATCACTACAACTCCTTATATTTATTAAGCTCAACATACTTTAATCAAAAAATTAATATAAGGAGTGCTAAATTTTGGTAATCCTAGGACTTGAGTTCTTAGTTTACTAATGTAATAAGTTGAAATAGCTGTGTTTTCACTTCAACTATGGAATTAGCTCCCCGGGTAAGCTAATGTAGCTTATAATCTGGTTTTCTTCACGGAATAAATCAATCAGAATGTATCATGATCTAAATTGCAATTAGCAAATAACAGCGACTTAAGATTTTTAAATTACAGACTAATAAGGAACTCACCAGCGATGAAAGGATCAGCAGTCTTGAATGTTTCCAAGTCGAAAATGGATAGTCCATGGCTGAACCTTCCGATTGCTGAGAACAGAAGCAAGGACGCCACGTCTCCACTAACCAATACCGCCAAAAGACTGCGCACCAATCCAACTTAGGAAAACGAAATTGAACGAATAACTAAATGAATTCAACGAAAACCACAAAAAATTACCCCCATTTAGCGAGAAGAGATCCGGAATCAGGCTTCTCGTACCGAATAACGCCTTCAAGAGGAACATTCTTCTCCCCGACGACAGAGACGGAATTATATTCCTCATCTTCCGACGGTGCAGCCATGGACGACGGAGAGGAGTTCGATTTAGAGGTAGAACCGCCGGAAGACTCCGCGGCATTGGGGAGTGCAAGGGGTCTGAAGCGGCGAGCGGCGGAGACTTCCGAGCGGTGTTTCGAGAAGAGAGGGGCGATTGGTTTGGCGAATTTGAGGGAACAGTGGTGGACGGAGGAGAGCACCGCTCCTCCGCCGGCGGCCGCCGGACTGAACAAAGGAACCATTTCGCCGGAGGCCGAAACGCAATTCTATCTATGTATTGAGGCTACAGATTTTTATTTTTTATTTTTTGTTATATATATTTCGAGTTTTTTTTTTATTATTGGTTGCGTTATTTTCGTTATTTTTCCACCAATCAGAATCTTGTTTAATATTTTTAAATTTTCAAATTTTAAATTAGACGCCAATAAATTGTACCCAAAAAAATATTAAGTCTTCTAGAAGCTTACCATCTGAGCCCATTACAAAAAAGAATGGGTTGCCAATAGCGTATGGGCTGTGTGCCCCAATTAAAATAAAAAATATTTTATCCGGCTTTCGAATTTATATTATTTTTATTTAAATAAGTTAATTAAATTATATTTATATTATAATTAATTAGCTTAATTTTATATAAATTTAAATTTTACTTTATAATTAAAATATACTTCCTCCGTCCAAAAAACTAATGTCCTACTTTCCTATTTGCGAGGTTCAACAACTATTGTCTTATTTCCTTTTTTAAACACAAATTTTACATTTTTACCTTTCATTCATTTATTACTTTTAGGGCGTGTTTGGCAATTAGCTGATAGCTGTTAGCTGTTAGCTGATTCAATTAGCTGATAGCTGTTAGCCGATTCAATTAGCTGGTTTGACTAGCTGATTCGATTAGCTGTTTCTATTAAAATGTTTGGTAAAACAACGGTTTGATATTAGTTTTTTATACGTAAAATGACAATTGAGGACATTTCTATTTTATTCTAGTTTCTAATATATTCAATTATGTTTTTTTGAATTTAGAATGTTTAAAATTATTTGTTATTAGTTATTAAAAATTGTAAAAATGTTATAAAAGTATTTATTTTTATTAAAGTTAGATTTAAAAAATAATATATTTTTATTAAAATATATAAACAGTTTTTTTATTGAAAATGATGTAAAATATAAAATAATAAATTTTTCGTGTATATATTTATTATGTTAGTTATCGATTAGTTTATTATATTTATAATTTTCAATAAATTTAATTTATTTAATTTATTTTTAGTATAAAATTTATATAATGTAATTTTAATAAAAAAATAAATTATTAATATTTATATTTTTATTTTATGTTGATTTTAATAAATTTATATATTTTACAATTAAAATAATTTTTATATAGAAATTAATTATTTTAAATTTATAAAAGTAAAACTATAATATAATAAAATATTATAATATAATTAATAAATAATCAAAATATATTTATTTGTGTAAAATGTATAATAAATTTTTAAGGGCATATAAGGAATAAAAAAATTTTTACAGAAAAAACTATTTCAAAACGCTGGGTAAGTTAGTTTTTCAGAAATCAGTTTTTTTTGTCCAAAAAGCTATTCCAAAAAGCTAATTTATCAAACACCTAAATTAGCTTTTTGACTGGTCAAACAGCTAAAAGCTGTTCAATAAGCTAAAAGCTCTTCAAAAAGTTATTTGCCAAACACCCCCTTAATCTCTATCATACAATTAACGGCAAATTTGTCAATTCATAACAGAAAGACAATCACCTAAAAAAACTTTGCAAATATACTTTAGGACAATAAAAATTAGACGGAGGGAGTATAATAAATATTTATTGTTATTATTGTTGCGTCATACAAAGTAAATATTTCATTACATAACTCACTTTTTTTTACAAAGTAAATATTTCATTACATAACTCACTTTTTTTTACAAATAGTCTTATTTTACATCACATTATTACTTTTACACCAGAAAGTAAAGGCAAAAAATATCATTACACTACTTTTAACTATCAACTATAATTAAAATAGTATTATTTCTTACACATTGCGCAAACGTAAATGTTTACTTTTTGTGTCGACGGAGAGAGTATAAAATAAACAAACAAATACTCCTTCCGTCCAGCTAGAAAATATACATATTTCTATTTTGGGACATCCAATTACAAAGTAAACATTTCATTAAATACATTACTTTTTTCCACAAATACCCCTATTTTACAACACATCTTTACTTTTACACCAAAAAGCAAAGGCAAAAATATCATTGCACTACTTTTAACTACTCACTATAATTAAAATATTATTATTTCTTAAATACCGCGCCAAAAGTAATTGTATACTTTTTTGGTAGACGAAGGGAGTAATACATATATTTATTTAAAAAACATATGTTATGTTAAATAAAATATATATATATATATAATTATGTTGTATGAATATATTTTTTGTGTACTTAAATTAATTGTAATATATATTGTATAATTATCATATGTTGATGTTTTATGTGCAGTATTTGTACTATATTAGCATTTGTATTGTATTAATATAATTTATATATTATTTATCTTTATATTGTGTATTATTTATTTTATATTATATTTCATACTAAATTATAAAAATTAAGCACATACATTTGAGTACATAGAATGGTAAAATAAATAAATAAATAACAGCAAAATGACAAATATGGTAGATAGGTGACATGTTTTGACAAAGAATGAAATAACACACCGTTCAAAGGCGGGCATGCATTTAATGAGCCGTGCAACTCTTGAATGTACAAGTCATTAAAGCGTAGTTTGACCGTGCATTTAAACAAGGATGGTGTGAGCGTTTAATGGCCAGGGTACAACAGCCACTATGCACGCAAATGCAATGCGCTACTTCTTTATTACATAATTTATTACTTTCTCCATTCATTAAGGGCTGTGTTTATTTCATGAATTTCAATCAATTTTTATTCTTCAATTAATTTTTTTAAAAAATAATAAAAAAAATACTATCCCTGTCATGTATTTATTTTTTAAAAAAATTTTAAATATTAATTATTATATCAAAAGATAGAATAAATTAAAAAAAATTGCAAAAATATTTTTATTAGTGTCTTATATTTGTACAAAAAATTATACAAATATAAAGATATTTTTAATATTAAATAAGGTAAATGTGACCCTTAGAGAAAGACGAATGGAGTATTAAATTAAATACTTATTTTTCAATTTTTTTATATTATACTAAAAATCAATTTTACATTTAAAATATAACATCAACACTTATTTATATCACATCGTACAACTAACTCAAAAATTTTACTATTCAAATTTCAATTCAAAATTCAAACCCCCGAACAACCACACCCTAAATTGTAATAGTGTTTTCAATTCAAATGAGAAGAATGGGATGAGAGTAAATATTAAAATTATAATAATATATTTAGTTCCTATAAAATAAATAAATACATAAAATAAAATAAACAAAAGCTAAAAAATAATTATTTTAATGTGAAAATAGATAAAATAAAAAATAAAATGAAGTATTATAAGAACTTTATTAAAAATTTAATAATAAATTAGTAGAGTAAAGAAATATTAATGGTAATTGACTATTATTAGTTAAAAAAATGTAATAAAATTATTTATAAAAAATCAATTACTTAGACAAATTTAAATGATAATAAAAAAATTAAATAAATATATAATTATCTTGAAGGGAAAGAACAATGTATTTATATTGAAATATAGACCTAAATAATATTCCATCTATCAATCTATTTATTTTTTTTATTTTATCTGACATTTTCTGTTAGTTATTAGGGTCCCAAGACATTGACATTAATACTAAAAACGAACTCTTGCATTTATTTTAACACAATAGTCTTATTTATCATTTTTATTCATTCCAAAATTATAGTCTTATTTTCATAAATAATCATGTCACCATAAAACTATTCCTACTTTTTCATTTTTATTACACAATTGTCACTACTTTTTACACTAATACACCCACAAGGGTGTCCAACCTAATTAAAACTATATTTATGGGATGGAGGGAGTATTATAAATTATAAAGAATATAATTAACTTAATTTAATTATTTTACAAAATATTCATGCAGGTTAAATTTTATAGATTCATCTTTAATATACTACTTATTCCGTCTCAATACAATAGTCTTTTTTATTATTTTTATCTGTTTCAAAACAATAGTCTTATTTTCATAAATAATCATATCACTATAAAACTACTATTACTTTTTCATTATTATTACATAATTGTCAATACCTTTTACACTAATACACTCATAAGGACAAAAATGTCTTTTTACCTATACTTTTTATCCATTGTCAATATAATATCAATATTCATTAAATCCCGTGTCCAACACAACTAAGACTATAATTTCAGAACGAATGGAGTATATATTTTCTCGGTCTACATAAAAATAAATTTATATGAGTTGGACCATAATTGTAATTAATATAATATTGTAGACGAATGAAGTATAAATTAAAAAATTTATAAGAGTTATTTATTATAAATAATGCAATATATAAATGGATAAATAGATAAATATAATCATGAGTGCGTGAGTAATACTCTCTCTATTCCAATTTAATATATAATTTTTATTATTTTTATTTTTATTTTTTAAGTGTAAAGATAAAAATATCAAAATTATTTTATATATTTTTATTAATTAATAAAATATTAATATCTTCCTCCATAAAAAATACTCCCTCCGTTCCATATATCGTGTTTGCTACACTGTAGACACTGTATTTTAGGAGATGTGTAATTAGTAGATAATTAAGAATATATTAGTGAAAATAATTATCCGATAATATAAATAATTATAAATTAAGATTAAAATAACTAATTAGTTTAATTAAAATTCAAAAAAAAATTAAAAAATTTAAAATGAGATTAAAGTGTGTAATCATTTTCCAAAAAATAAAAGTGACATGGTATGTGGGACGGAGGGAGTATGTTCAAAACTTTTGGTATAAAAATTTTTAAAATAATATTTTAATATTATTTTTGTAGTTTTATTAAGAAAAAAGAAGATATTTTTTATTGAGTTTGATAAAAATTTATATTTTATCAATGGATAAAAATTTAAAGATTAATACTCCCTCCATTTCGTTCCGGAACTAAATATCCATTTGTTTTTTACACGTAGTTTTAGAAATATTAGTATTATATTGTGATATAGTATAAATAAAATAGAAATGACTAAAATAACCTTATTGGTATGTGTGATATGAAGGTAATGACAT